TGCGTTATCAGAAGCTAGAGTGCTATTATCAATCAAACGGTTTCCAAAACGACCATGGTTTGATGCTACTAAACGCGTTTTGCAAAAAGGGAAAAAAACGAAGGTATGGAAAAAATGAGACGGCGCCCTATCCAACGTCACGTCCAGTAGATTTGGTCTCAGTCTTCTGCCATGGCAGTTGTAACAACGGCAATTTAATTTACAATTGTTCAGAGGGTAGTTTCGTCTTCAAACTTGACTTGATTTGACATCCTTTGAACGGTTTTGCCAAATTTAACTATGAAAATTGTCGTTGTCGCATCCAACTTTCTAATACGTCTTTAGAAATCTAAAGAAGCCGCATCAAAGGATGCTAATTACATTCAGCTTTCTGACCGAAAATAATGAGCAATTTGCAAAAATATGAAAACAGGTTTTCTGTAGATATGTCAAAATTTAACATATACAAGTCTCTTTGAAAGAATTTCCAGTGTTGCATTTCATCTTTACAATCAATTTGATCTGATATGTACCATAAAAAAGTCTTCATTATCAGGGTGAAAAACGCGATTGTTTGATTTTCAAGAATTTTCCCTTGCTAATACTCATGGAAAAAAGAAGATTTTTATGGATTTGTAACAACCCAAAAAAAATTAAGAAAAAGCATCAGGAAGTAAGACGTAGCCAAGAGGAGGCGTGTGGTGCTATTCCAAGCGCTCAAAGCGCTTTGTGGCATGAGTTATTCGTACTTGAAAATGGCTAGAATTGCACAAAATTCAACCTAAAACGAAAGTGTAGTGGGTTGCATTGCCCGGAAGAGTAAGTCAATTACACTTTTTTCTAATGGCCCAGATGTTCTGCATTGTACAGAACTCAATTTCCAAGTAACAGGCGCTCTTATTCTAACTCCAAGGCTCAGACCTTGCTTTTTGAATAGCGCGGTTACAGTAATTTTAACACTTGTGCGTCAATAATATTATGCAAATTTGAAGCTAATAACTTGCTCGGATTGAATTGGATGCTCATCAGGATAGCAGGATACTATTAGTGGTCGTCCACAACAAAGATGCCATATCTAGCCGTAAAACTAGACTTAGAGTCTATTCACAATGGTAGACAGCACTCATAATCCAGGAGACATAGCTGATGCCTGACACGCTGAGTCATTGTCAGCACAATGAGGGAGAATGAGGGGGAGCAAAACAACGCAATTCTGTATCGAGTCTGAGCGAATAGAGACCCGTGATATGTACAGTTCCTATGATACAAGAGACAACGACATCCACAGGCTGTTGTATTAAAATTGGGTTGGAATGGATTCACAGAGCTACATTGCCGAAAAGGCAAAGTATTCAAAATCAATCACTCAAGCGCTATTTTTTGCTACAGTAGTGGCGCATGTAAAGTTTTTGTTATTATGCTTCAACATTGGTCAATATACGCCCTGGATTTATTTTATAGACTTGAGCACCGTATTATGGACGCTTTTGTGCTGTTGTTATTGAAGAAAGAATTATTTTTGCCATGGCAAACTCCATTATTGAAAGAAAATATCGCGGTAGGTATCCTAACGAGGCCTCAATTTATAGAGCAAGCACAACATGAGAAAAATATTCAACTAATAGAAGAGAAACCTGGTTGAATTGGCAATTGTTGTGCCAGAAGGGCTACAACTGTCTATAAAGATTAAGGTATTCTTGATGGGTAGATATGTCTGTGTTGTGCAACAACATGGACAAGCTATGATAAGTGAAGTGCATCTCAGCTATCTAAATACTGAGGTTCACCAGATGTGATAAGCGTTGTACAAGATAAATTGCTACTTTGGCATTCAGAACTTAGTATAAATAGAATAACTCTTGTCTTCATCAATAAATCTTTAGTTTTTGTGTCTGATCTTATTCAAATAAGTCTTTTCTTGTTTTTATAATATTGAACATTTTTTATAAGCTACAAATAATAATCCTTTTATTCTTTGTGCTTAACAGCAATTATACAAAAGACACTAGTGTTGTCGAAACGTCAAAACACTGGATTTTTGTATTGGTCATTACGTTACATTTTACTCGCTTAACTATTTGACCACCAATGCCAGCAGCGACTAAAAACGCGTATATATCCTAAGCAACCCCTCAAAGTGGGTATATGATCGTTCTGTTTTGAAATCTCTAGCATAAACGTACGGCGTCAAGAAGCTATTCTTCTCTTTAGATAATAAGATACGTAACGCATCTTTAACCCTTTGCCCAACCTCAATGAAGGAAGGTACAGCCGAAAGGTTTTTTTTTATTGCAACGTTTTTCAATACCTCATATACGGGTAAGCAATATACTAGTATTTTCCCTTTTCCGTCCTTAGTGTTCCTGGTGCAGCAAAATTTGGGTGCATTTGAGCTGCGTTTTCTCGCGTTAAAAGACGTTTTAGATGTTCAAATAGCACCAAACAATTGTTCTCACCTAGCACTTACTTCCTGATACTTTTGCTCAACTTTTTGGGGACCAAAAAAAACATGGCCAAAAATCGACCAAAAAGCATGAGGCACCCCTCATGGTTTTCATCAAATTTCAAACGATTGCATTTTTCACTTCAAAAATGAAAACTTTTACTATGGTATATGATGTATCATCTCTAAACCGGATCTCCAAATGCGTAGAAACAGGCAGTTCAAGCACCGATCACATCAGATCATAAACTTTGATATGAAACAGGATTCAGTTACGATCCATATCATGGCATGCTCAGGATAATAGATCCAATCTATTATCTTATCACCCAAATCAACCCATCTAATACCTTATTATCCTCACATCAAATCCCTCAATTCGAATAGTATATAAACCCTCTTATTTTCAATGTAATAAACGATATTCTTTACCTGATTAATTTCATACTCGTTTTTTTTTATAAATAATTTATTTCTGATAAATCAGTATATATTAAATCAAAATGCTCCTATCGACCTAACGTAACTCCTGAAATTATCTTTGTAGGACCTTGATATGTAAAGTTCGACTTTTTGGCCAGAAACCTCTTTTCATATTTTCGTAAATTACTCAGAAAGTTTATTCAAAACCTATATCTTACTGGGTACCATTGGATGCGCCTTGAAAAGCGCTCCAGGAAAGCTTAAAGAAGCATAGGATGATGATCGTATTTTATATAATAGTCGAATTTGGCAAAATAGTTCGATCAAGTCGAAAAACTACCAAAATTTGGTTAAACTGGAGTAGACCAAGAGTATGAGTTATAATTATTTTTGACAGCTGGTGGGGCCGGCTGACAATCTCAATGCCCTTTTCATCATATTGCTAATACAATTATAGATGCCTTTAAAGCATATGAAAAGAAGGTGGCAAATTACATAGTACCGTTGTTAGCCACGCTATTTTCCTTGCATTCTATATTTAATAATAGCGCCATTCCATCAAGATAGTTGTTTGATCAACTTCTTTCCTTTTTGAGGCTTTGAAAGTGCCTAGTGACCATAAGTTTATTACGTTACAACGAGCATTTCGACTCTTTGGTTGTTGATTTACTAACTTAAGTTTCGCTTTGGTGGAAACCAACCTACGTTCAGGTGACTTGCACTGCCACAGGCCTTTGGCTAATATTGTAAAACTTATATAGTTAAAACGTTAGAAGAAACTTAATGATTGATTGATAGTGATTTAATACAAAAAGCGTTAATTATACCTGCATCAACCTACCCGTAGCAATATTCATTGCGTAAACTTAGAAATTAGTTATCGATTGAGGTTTTACTCAAAGCTGTAGCATTCGCTCTTATGGATCTACAGCGCACTGTAGTAGGCCAGCCCCCGCCCTAACTGTCGGAAACCGATCGCTCAAGGCTAACTTCTGTTGCAATGGTGCATATAAAATTCTTCTTATGTATTGCTATTTGTCATACCACACTACTCTAGATGTATTTTGTAGACTTGAGCACCATAAAGATGTTACTGTGGTGTTATTCAGAAAAAACGTGTTTTTGCCACTGTAAACTCCAATTTGGGGGGCCAAAAAAATGATTTATGAAAGGAAGCATCGTAGATGATCAAACGAGGTCTCATTTTGTAGAGCAAACAAAGAGGAACAAAATTGAATTAATAGAGAAACCAGGTTAACTTGGCAGTTGATCAGGAAATAGCTTCCAAACACTGCTCTTTTATATATTGGTTTTATTACTGCACTTCTCCTTCTTCATTCTTTGACAATCCATGTAGCGACTGAAAATCCATTCATATGTTTATCAACCGCCTGGAGTGGGCATACCATGGTCCCGATATGACGGCTTTAGCATCAATCAACATTGATCGTGAAATAGCAATTCCCTTTTCCCGATAAATGCGCAACAGCAAAACTTCGACCCTCTGCCAGACGACAGCGAAGCAAGGTATTATGGTCAAGCGGATTTAATTATAAGGCGATCCAACGCTCTATCTATCAATTCAACATTCGCAATTACTCGTAATTGGCAAGAAGCTATAAATGCCTAATCCACTTTGTTGAAAATTTAGCTGAGCCAACATATCTTTGCTGTGGTGCAGCCAGCAACTAAATTTCCAAACGGAATTGCGTTTATATGTGCAGTATAACCCTGTACTTGTTGTCAACGAGTAAGTGTAATAGGTACGTAAAGCTCATGGAGTGTGATTTAATATTGCCGTAAAAGTAGTAGTCAAAAGCAGTTGCGGCAAACAATGAACCAAACCAGGAACCGGATTTTCAATATTTATGCTTATCATCACCTTCCATCATCCAACAGTTAACCTTAGAGAAGGGAAAACAAAGAAAACCACTCGTATATGTAATAGTATTAAGGGGAGAGGAGCATGATGAACGATGTATTCATTGTTACAAATAGTTCACCCAGTCACACAAAGAAATGAAGGAAGGGTCATGCTCCTACCTTTTGGCATGCTTCCCATTAAAGCGCAGCGTTTTTTATATTAAATTTTTTCAATTCTCTTCTTTCACACACACACACAAACACACTTTCATTTTTCCCCAACCCAAACATCATGTCAGTACTCTTCCGTTCTGCCACTCAATCGCTTAAACATGTCAGAGTAAGTGAATTTACACATGGAAGGATGGGATGATGGGATGATGGAATGGTATATTGACGCGTATCTCCAATGCACAGTCATTCTCCGTATCTGCTGCTCGTTCAGATTGTAAGTGTATCATGAGATAGGATTGACATGGCGCGTTGGTAACACATTGGAACCATAGTAAATAAGATCCAACTCATTGGACGTATTGGTGCTGATCCTACAAGAACTGAAGTCGGAGACCGTCATGTCACCAAGTACACAGTTGCAACCTCTGAAACAAGACCTGATAAAGAAGGTTGATTGATGGACAGTGCGTTACAAGCGAGAATTGAATACTGACTGTAATATGGTGTAGGCAATTTGATCAAACGTACTCAATGGCATCGTATTGTCTATTGGCAAGCAGGTGATTGGTTCAACAAGGTCAAGAAGGGGTAAGATTTCTTTGTTTTGATCTGACATGGAGAGGAATCTAACGTGTGTGCGTGTGTGGTCGCAGTGATCAAGTCTATGTAGAGGGCACTCTTCGTTACAACGATTATATTGATAAGGACAATATCCCCAGAACCAAGGCAGAGATCAATCAAAGTAAGTGTGGATGTGAGGTGATATGGAATGACGTCTCATCATTTGTATTTCATGCAATTTGTAGCCTCTTTCAAGTTGTTAAATGCTTCACGCAGCCAAGCACAAGATGAGGACGACGAATAAGTTTATAAATCTACAATAAAAATGCCCCCCCCCCTCCCTATTTCTTATGTATTTGTGTATTTTTACTTGTTTTGACAATTGAATTGTAACATTAGACTACTTTACTGTATACAAAACAAGCCACACATGAGGGTACAGTTCAACGGAAGCAGGACAGGTACCACTGCATACAGTTACACAACATGATTCGAGGTTTTTCTTTACGTTTAAATGGAAAATAGACCACGATTTATTATGATTCATGAAGATGGGATGGGGTGATAATAAAAAAAAAGACGATTAAAATTTAACCGAGAAGAGGTGCATTCTCATCAGAGGAGCGACCTACAAGCTTGAAGAGATAAGGACGAGCAGGGTACAAGAGGGTAATAATGGCACCGGCTAAAGCGGGCCAGTGGATCCAGGCATCATGTTGGTTAGTAAAGATGGCCAAGAGACCGAGTCCGATGACTAAAGCACCAGTAACATCACCCTTGTGCTTCTTGTATTCAACATAACCAATAGCAGTGGATGTTAAGAAGACGATAGCAAGGATAGCCAAGATGCGGATCCAGATGGAAGGGCCATTTTCGCGAAGACCGGTGAAAGCTTGAAAGAGGTTGATAACAGCAGAGAAAACGATCCAGCCATGCCATAAGGAGAAGGGAGCATGGATGAAGAGCTTATCCCACCAGCTGGTAGTAGGGTAGTCCTTGGCAAGCTTGTCTATCGAATGATAAAAAGCAAGATAAGATATATGCACGATTGTACATGTACATCATGAGATTTAGTACTTACAGAAAACGCAAGAGACAGATGAAGCAGTTAAGAGAACAAAGATGAAACCAATGATAAAGTGACCATGTTGCTATGCAGTTTTTTGATTAATCTCTACAACATCAACGACTGATAAAATAGGCGGCCTACTTACCAAGAGAGTCAACCAAGCTGAACTAAGCAAGACGGAAACAACAAAGTGCCATCCGACACCGTGGATAGCAGCCTCATGAGCGGGTTCAAACCATTGGTAGATAACGAAACCACCGAGAAGGAAGTGAATGAGGGTCCAGATATATTCAATCCAGTGAGCTATTTGATGGGAATGAGAACAAGGCTCTTATCTTTTGCCATTACTATTACGGCTACTTACAGGGAGTAAGGTAAGTTTGACCATCATGGACAACAGGATCTGATGGAGTAGAGCCTACAAGGTTATAGACGGTAGCCGAAAGGAAGAGGAGGTACACCAAGACATTGGCCACCTTTTGAACAATGTGGAGATTAGACATAATTCTGTTTTACTAGTACAACAAGAAAGGTTTGAAAAGAAAAAGAGAAACAAGATCTATAGCATTCAACATTGGGCTTTATATAGGCGCGATTTTTTTTTTTTTTTTTTTTTTTTACATGTACAACAAAAAGCCAGTGTGCTGTGTGTGAGAGAGTGTGGTAAGTGTGACGAAAATGAAAGGCAACCTTAATTTTTCATGCTGATTTATGGATTTTTTATCTCGTACAAAAAAAAAAGAGGGTAGTTTAGATTTTGTTTGTTATGTGCGTTTCATCCTTCTTTATGCGTTGTATGTTGCGGTTACTATCATACCATTTGGCGCACAGCTTTTACAACAGCAACAGCAACAAGGCGAGTTGCACAAACCTGAACGGATTCAATTTAAAAAAGTAAATTGTATACAGACAAGTGATGCTCGGGAAAAAAAACACTAAAACAAAACCTTCTGACAAGAAAATGACGTGAAGATTTTACATGAATTCACTGGCTTATCTACGTGTGGTTGCATAATATAAAAACCCAAACGTTTTATCCCCTTGATTTTGGCTGAATTCAGCATGTAATACAAAGGTTTGGGGGGGGGGGGTTTAGACACTCCTTTGAGCTAAACTTTTGGATACACACACATTGCAGCTATACCATTTCTTTTTTTTTTTTTTTTTTTTTTTTTTTTTTTTTTTTCTTTTTTTTTTTTTTTTCTTTTCGTTCACTCACTCTGTCTTTGCTCGAATCCGCTTTTATGTCAGCTTTACTTTTAGAGACACTTCGAAAAGCAGAATTAGAACAGGCAAGTAACATGTGCTGCTGCTGCTGTGCCTGAGAAAGCATTGCATTCTAACTTGGACATTTGCGCCTTTAGTATTACCCCAGGTACCAATACACTCTTCTGTTTTTTTTTTTTTTTTTTTTTTTTTTTTTTTTTTTAAGTGTGATTAGCATATTAATCTTGTAAAGCTTTTCATCAAATGGAATAACACAACTAGAGAACCTTGCTCAAGTGAGTCCAACATACACAGCATGACAAAACCACTAATGCACCTCTCTAGCTGTCCATGCAAGACTACAGCAGTTTAGGCATCACATCTATTCCCGATAGAAAGAAGCTGTTTCAGCTAGTTCAGAGCTTGCGACAGGAAATACCCACATTGGAAAATGGACTTGTATCGTCACCCAACAGCAAGTATCGATTCACCAAATCACCACCCTCCTCCTCTTCTGCATCCAACAACAATGTGCCTGATTTATCCAACCTCAACATCACAGCAGCCAGACGTGGTAGCGGCCAGCCAACCCATCAGCCGCCATTGCAGCAACAAATCCCTACTCGCTCTCGCTCTCGTACACTGCCCTCTTCAGATCACTACAGGCCCGAGTTCTTGAAATCCAACAGTAGCAACAACTTTTTCCATGAAGAAACAACCACCTCTTTGACTGATAGTGATGACTCTGATGATTCCGACAAGTGTGAGATTAGACGAGGTTCGGGCCCCTTATTAGATCCATATGGCGTGCCTATTCAGAACAAGTTGCGCTACAATGCTATTCGTAATCAATCGCAATCCATGACGCCCAGTAGCATGGATTCGAATCATACGTTGACTACAGCATCTTCTGCAACAAGCAACAACACCATCACTACGCCTGTGGCATCGCCCATGGTGTCTGGTGGCTCTCCATTGCAGCAATCCCAGCAACTGATGGGCCAAAGTGATTTGAATCAAAAGATCCGCGTTTGTGTCAGAAAACGGCCTCTGAACAAAAAGGAGCTGGAGCGAGCTGAAAAAGACATTGCACCTACGGCAGGCGTACGAAGTATCAATGTGAACGAGCCAAAGTAAGTTGTGATGGCTGGCTGGTCTGATGAAGGGCGGGCCTTTGCTGATTGACTCTCGTGCTCTAGGATGAAGGTGGATTTGACAAAATACATTGAGCAGCACAGCTTTACATTTGACGATGTATTTGATAGCGACGAAACAAATGAAAAGGTATGCATCTGTTCTGTTTAAAGACCTGTTTTACTTAGATTTACCCCAGATCTACTCTCGCACTGCCCAACCCTTGGTGAAATACGTATTTGATGGTGGAAAAGCGACCTGTTTTGCCTAGTAAAGTACCTTGCCACTACTGTACACGCAACGCCCATACTAACTCCAGTGATGCAGTGGCCAAACTGGCTCTGGAAAAACGTATACCATGCTGGATCCAAAGCTTGGCCTCTACGTGCTAGCTGCACGTGATGTATTTTCATTGATTCGACAATCCCAATACGAACATTTGTCAGCCTGGATCGGATTCTACGAGATTTATCAGGGCCAACTCTATGATCTACTAAACAACCGCAAAAAACTATTTGCAAGAGAAGATGGCAAACAAAACGTGGTGATTGTTGGACTCAAGGAATTTGTCATTAAAAACGTCGAGGATTTGATGCAAGTGTTCGAGTACGGCAGCCAGGCACGTAGTACAGGTAGCACAGGCGCCAATTCGGATTCATCCCGATCCCATGCTGTGCTCCAAATACTGTTGCGTCCTACGAAAAACAAAAAGAAGATCATTGGCAAACTTAGTTTCATCGATTTAGCTGGTAGTGAACGTGGTGCTGATCGTGGTGATACGGATATGAAGACGAGAATGGAAGGCGCCGAGATCAACAAGAGTCTGTTGGCCCTGAAAGAGTGTATTCGTGCATTGGATCAAGACAAGAGACACACGCCATTCCGCCAGAGCAAGTTGACTCAGGTTCTCAAAGACTCGTTTGTGGGCAATTCTCGTACTTGCATGATTGCCACCATCTCACCTAATCAGAGCAACAGTGAGCATACATTGAATACGCTTAGATATGCAGACAGGTGAGGCTCCAGCATGAGATCACTCATATGCTGCCCATGACTCACACTGCTACCATAGAGTCAAAGAATTAAAAGGAGAAAGAGACAGACGAGTCATTGGGCCAGACAGCAACGATGCTTCCAATGTGATGCATCAACGCCAACTCTCCTCCTCTGAAGATTACCCTAATGAAGACGAATACCCGGATGAATACCCAGAGTCAGATGACCCTGATCTCTACAATGATGTGGAAGACGACGACTTGCTTTTGCATGATGAAGATTTCCCCAGTGACGGTGATGGTAATATACTCGATGAAGACTTTATCCACGAGAGTCGATATGACCCACATCATCATCACCAACACCAACACCAACACCAACAGCAGCATATGCGCTCTCCTCCACCTCCTACTGCGTCGCAACCAGCTCGCATTGCTGAGCCAAGATACAATCGACATCCACTAGACATGCCTGCCATGTCTTCATCCCCTGATTATCTCTATGAGCCATCTCAGCAGCAGCAGCAGCAGCAGCAGCAGCAGCAGCAATATCAGTTCCAACTTCAACAACAACAACAACAACAGCAACAGCAAATGCAACAAAATGCCACGATGCAACAAGCACTTAAACCAGATGATATACCAAATGCGAATGATTTCACTGCACAGCTGGAAGACTGCCTCTTCTTTGATCCCAATACGATTGAATCCTTTATCAAATTCCACAGAGCGCAAATCAGAGAAGTAACTGAATTCTCCAAAAAGGAGACCAAGCTACTCGCCAACTTTTCCTTGGGATTATCGAGTCGAAGAGATGATGAACGTCAGTCGTCTTCCTCTTCCTTGAGGGAAGAACTAAAGACATCGAGTGAATTCATAGGCTATTTAGATAATTTAGATGAGTTGTTAGAGATGAAGACGGCTGCTATTGAGGCTTTGAGAGATAGAATTCGGCACGTATTGGGAGAGGAAGAGCTTTGAACGAGAAACAGCATGAAATAAAAGAACCCTGATGATTTTTCATCATGATTTTTATGAATTAAAGCAAAAATTTGGTGTCAATGCCGTCCGCAAAATCGTAAATCACAATCTTGACAAGATTTGAGCAGCAGGCAATCTTTGTGAAATCGAATTTTAAATTGAGTATTCTAACCAAAAGGTGTCAGTTGTTAGGAACTCGCATAGCTTGCAATGGAAAACTCACCTTCCTTCCGTTGCTTGTCCCAAATCTCTCAATGCCCTTCCTTCATCCAGCGACCAAATTTTTAAATGTCCATTGTAACAGCCACTGATAATTCGTTTTGCTACCGGATCCAGTTGAATCGTTCGCACCAGTTCAGTGTGCCCAACCAAAGTGTAAACGCATTCTCCTGATGTAGCGTCCCATACTTTGATGGTCTGGTCGCTCGACCCACTAACAATAAATGCACCGTCAAACTCAACACAAGCAACACCGCGTGTATGTGATTCCAATGTCTTTAAGCAAGCCCCTGTGTTTAGATCCCAAATCTTGATGGTGCGATCCCCGGAAGCCGATACTACTCTGTTATCATGCCACTGTACGGCATTGACCGCTGCCCGATGTCCATTGAATTGCCGTATATATTCGCCTGTATGCTTGTTCCATAATCGCAAAGTTCTGTCTTTGGAGCAACTGATAATCTGATTCTTGTTGACCAGTCTCAAACTGAGCACGCTGTCGGTATGTCCTGATAATGTACGCTTGACTAATCCAGTCTCTATGTCCGTCACAATCAAATTGGTATCTGAGCTTCCACTAACAACATCGTGTGTATCGTATTGTAAGCACAAGACGCTGCCCGTATGTCCTCGTAATGTCATCTTGCATCTGCCAGTTTGAATATCCCAAATCTTGATGGTGCGATCACGACTGCCAGTAACCATCTTCTCCTTGTCAAACTGTATACAGTAAATGCCTTCTGTGTGTAAATCCGATACAGGGCAGTTGGCAGGAGGAAACATGCGCACTTTGCAGCTGCCATCTTTCCATCGTCTTTCAATCTTTAATCGGTTCTGGTAGAGTGCTTGCCAATTGATGTAGCGGGTATCTGATACAGGGTCGTAGTGTGGGTTAAGGTTGCTGTTTGCACCACCTGCACTGAGTGTCTCTAGTGTAAATCGTTTGATCTTTCGAATGGATTTGGTGTCTGCAATAGGTCGGTTCTTCATGGTATATAATCGAGACCATTTGCTTTTGCCGATAAGTGGCGATGATGTTCTCACAATGGGAAGAGGCGCAATGTTACCAGAGCTTCCGCCACCGCCGCCGCCACCGCTGCTGCCACCACTGCTGTTGGCATGATAATCCTCTTCGTCGGGTATATTTGATATATAAATATCCATCTCTTCTCGGTCGTATCCCCATCCTTGTTGCTCAAACAGATTTCGCCATAAACTCTGCTCTTCACATAATGCATGCCATCCTCGAGACACTTGTGATGCCTGTATCAGTGAAGACACATCCAAAAATCCCAAAATCTCTATGGCGATTTCGTATGGCAATTGCTGATCCATTCGCATTAGATCCTTAATATATATATATATATATATCATCTGGTTGGTTGCTAACTTACTGATAAAATGTTGCGATGCAGATAAGGTGATATGCGGTCAACGATTTGAATGACTTCGTTGGGAGGTAAACTGGTCAATAACTGAAAAGCAAACTCTAATTCATGTTATTATCTCGACATAAACACACTGTTTCTCTCATGTTACCAGATTTTTGCTTGTCTGTCCAATCTGTCATGAATTCGGGAGTTTCAAAGGTGGATTGCTGCTGCTGTTGTTGCCCATCTTGTTGCATGTCATTTTCTTGCTGTTGTTGCTCAGTAGTGTCATCCACACTCATGGATTCAGAACTGCCTAAGGATCATAAGTATCAGAAATAGTTGTACCATTCACGCAGGATGTGAAATACGTACTCATGCTGGTTTTTTATAGTTTCTAGAAGAGAAGAAAAAGGAAAAACCCCCCAAAACTTTTTCCTTGTTTTTTTTGGAAAAAAAGAATCGGGATGAGCATAAACAACAACAAGTGGGTATATGATTGATTTGATTGGCTCAGTGATACATTGATGGCGATAGAAGCTTTGATAATCGAGGGCTCTATCGCCACATCATTCTCATCAAGCTGAAACCATCATTACCACATGACAAGTCAGATCTGCACAGATTCAATACCAGGAGCCTAGATTGTAGTGCTAGTTAAGGATGGCTGTATCTATTGTAAGATAAATTCATACATATGGTGGCGCTTGATGCACAAAAGCATGATTCTCGAGCAAAAAAAAAAAAAAAAAAAAAAAAAACATAGTGCGACAGTTGGCCTCGATACTGGATACATATACCAAAGCAGCATTTTAAACTTTCTATTATCATCTGATAGCCCTTACACGATCTGTAACTGGGGGGATTTAACTCTTCTCGAGTACTTCAAGTCGGTGCCAATGGGATACTTCATACAAGCGTAGATGGCATGCGTTTTGACTACTTGGAGAGTATGCAAAACACATTAAAATTTGCATGCATTTGAGCATTGATTTTTTTTTGTATCAAAAGCTGTGTCAAACAGCCAGAATAGCACGGTTCTATCTATTGTAAATTAACGAGAGCCAGATAGCAGATCAGTGCTCGTTACACTTACATTCAGCTGTGGCGTTTAAGGGGTTGTAGCAATTTTTTATGGGCCCAAGCAGAGCACATTGTGATGATTGATCTCTGCCCTGGCAGCCTGTTTTAGACACACAAGGTGCCATTGAATAACCTTTTCTAGCTTGTGGCTAATTATTGATGACAATTCTACTAATGTGTTACATAGCTTCTCTTCTTGACTTTCAACCATCACATAAAAGCCATTCATGGTCAATCTGCAACCGTCAATCCAAGTTTTCGTGGATACCCCATGTCCGTATCCACAAGGAGAATTCATAGAGAGGCATACAGCACACTTGCATTGTCTCTTACTACTCAAAACTATGCAAAACACAGCATAATCCAGATGATTTGAGTCGCGTTTTCTCGTGTTAAAAGCCGTTTTAGACCACCAGAATAATGCCAAACCCGCGCTCTCACCTAGCACTAACTTTCTGGCACTTTTGCTCAATTTTTTTTTGAAACTTGAAAAACATGGCCAAAAACCATGAGGTACCCCTCCTGGCTTTCATCGAAAATTAAATGATCGCGTTTTTCATCCCAAAAACAAAGACTTTTACTATAGCATATTATAATCCAAAATGCTCATCTTGATTCAGGGCAGCCTCTGAAATTACTTTTGTAGAACCTTGATATGCAAAACCTCGACCTTTTTGCAAAAATTGTGATTTCATAGTATCAAAAATTACTCAATAAATTTAGTCAAAACATATTTTATAAATAGTGCCATCGGATGCGCCTTGGACAGTATTCCTAAAATGCATTAGGAAGTACAGTATGATCATCACCACTTCTATAGTCTATTTTGACAAGATAGATCAATCAGGTCGATTTGGACGAGATTTTAGCCAATCTGTAAAACACAAAATAATCTGAGCTTAAATTTGTTTTGGTAGTGGATGGTTGTCACTGCCTCATGCCATTAGAAGCTTTCATTCTATCATTGAATGATAGAACTGCAGAATATAGCAAAACCAGACAGTTGATTTACCATGTATTGATCCTTGGTTTTATTGATAACGCAAAAAAAAGTAATATACAATATACTGTATATATATATATATATATAGCATCAATCTTGCTTTGAGGAGGGGGAGGAGGCTGATGGCTCCAACAACTTACGATCATGCAAATCCATAGCCCATAAAGCAGCCCTATATAGCAATGGCTTGCTTGTTAGTTTTTTAACTTGTACACATATCAATGTGAACGACAAAACAACTCACCCAACTTGATTCGTATACATGAACAAGTAGCCTACAAAAGGCAGCATCTCCAATGCAGTAGCGACCAGACCAAATCGTTGATATTGCCAGAAATAAGCCTCAATTCTTCGCTGACGTTGCTCTGGAGTCCATTTATACAGTTGAAAGTAACGTTTATGAGCTGCACCGCCTCGAAATAAGGCTTGAATGGAGATGAAGCACAGTGGACCCACCACAGGCACCACATTAAGAGGCAGGGTTAACACAAAGAGAGCAGATCGCAGGAAAAAGATGGACCAATTGTCATCCTGTTGAGCGCTGAGGATCATCAAGTATCGAGGCGAGAGGAAATGATACTTGCGAGCAGCATGGCTATCATGCGTAGTAGCAGGTCCTGCCACTTTTGCAGAGACCATTGCTAAATTGGCATCGCTTTCATCTTGGCGTGGTAAACCATTGCGCTCCTTCAATACAGAGTCAAATAAGCGAGCACGTATATTGCCAATAAAATGGCTTCCCATCTGTAGCGTGATGGCAGATGTCTCGACCAAACAAAGTACGAGACTCGATACTTTGATCAGTAGAGAGTCCATGCTGGTTTGCGGTGCATTCCCGGAAAAGAAGGCCTTGTAAGCCCTCTCCAAAAGCGTGTGTTGGAACCCAAATCCATAGCGGTACAGTGGAACAACAACCACAGCGCTTGCTGCAATCACCTTGACAATCGATAGAAAGATGGGGCCAGCATGGCGCTGTGGATGGTGTAAAAAGTGTGCAAATCCTCGAATGGGGTATGCGGCAGTGGGTAGTCGACGTTCTCTCAGTACATTGAGCATATTTGCTGTGTTGAGTATCAAAAGGAGAGCTGCTGTTTTTGATAAGCAGCAGAGCAAAGCAGATACATACTCTCTCTGCTCGTGACGAGATTGCGTGGGGGGCGAATTCGACCACTTGCACACACGCAAAGAATTTTTTGAACAAAAGGCGTCTTTCCTGCAAAAGAAAAAAAAAAAAAAAAAAAAAAAACCAAATTTTCAGGTTATCTATCACCACCAATACACATGAGTGCATCCAAACAGCAATCCAAAGATGGCCAAGCGTCTGTTGCGCTGCAACTTGGCGCGAAAAAGATGAACCTGTCCTCTGATCAATTCAGACAATGTGTGTTCATCATCGATGAGCTTGTTTCCACCTACGATTGCCACCAATTCATGACGCCTGTACCTTTGACCGCAGTGATATACCACAGCCAAATCAAGCATCCCATGGACCTAAAGACGCTGGAAGAGAATCTATTCAACAACAAGTACAAAAACGTAAAGGATTTCGCCAAAGATCTCTTTTTGGTTTGGGAAAATGCCATGCGATTTCATCTCTCAGTCGATCCTATATACCAACAAGCCTTGACGCTCAAGAAACGATACGATGAGATAATACTCTTTATTCGAGGTGGAAAAAGGTAAAAGAAGAAACTGATAAAACAGAGAGAGAGAGAGAGGGGCTGTGTAATTCATGCTGTGTACACCAACGATTAGGCCGCTTTACCTGTCAACCGAAATACAAGACGTATCCTCCATTGCAAGAACGTTGATACCCGAAGAGCTCTACAGCAATGGCAATAAAATGGGGAAGCAGGCCAATGCCAGTGAGAAAAGGTGAGTCATTGTTTATCCGTTGCGGCGAGGCGAACACTTTATGTAAAATCTTACCTTGCTTCTTGTATAGCACATTGTATGGCATCCACATTTTCAGCGACCAAGATCACAGAACCAAACGCATGTATGGAGGCACGAATCAGCATGTATTTCAAATGTTGAACTCCTACTTTTTTGAGTACATGAGCAAAGATGAATGCATCCGTAAAAAGATGCCATTACCTCGTTTGTATATTGCAAAGAACCGCACGCTATTGAAGCAAGCACACTCGGATCCCAGTGGAGCGTTGGCTATTTTGTACGATATCAAGACGACACCTGTGGGCGAAAAAGGCGAATCACTTTATAAAATGCGCGCAACCGTACTTTTGGCAGAACCAGTGAATCAAGTGCATGATGTGGATGATTCGACCATGGATTTCAGTGAGAGCATCAACTACTCTCCCAAGGCATGGATTAAAGTGAGACCTTTGCAAGCTCCAGTCCGTCATGTGGAATCCATCATCACCAAGGACATTGACCGCAATTGCTTGAAAAAGGTCTTTACTACATTCAAAATCTCTACCAAGTACAACACAGACCCCAAGAAGATTCGTAATTTCGAGGTTGCAAGAAATTTCGCACAAGCAATGCTGTATCCTGTCTCGAGTTTAGATGACTCAGGGTCAACATCGGACATTGATGCTCAGCTAGTAGAGAGATCTACTAACACTCAAGCTGCCACATCAACAGCAGCAACACCACATACATCACCGCCACTGCCTTCCTCCTCATCATCGTCTAATACCAAACCATCTACTCAATCCACAACAAAAGCAAGCAGTTTCCATAGAAAGGAAGCGGTACAAGCACCTAAACGTCGATCCAGGGTGGCATCCAATGCAGATCTTGATCCACCGACAACAAGTGCGAGTTCCCGAGAGAAGACAATGGAAACAGAATCTGCGCTAAAGCCCAAGATAAAACTGATTGTATTGGCCGACAAAGCATCGACATCGTCTTCTGTTAATACATCGCCTGAACCAGAAGCGTCATCATCTGTCAAAAAGCATGCATCAAAATCAAAATCCACCAAAGAAGCCAACTTGAACATCGGAGCCAGCCTCAAGCTCCCACATCAATCCAGCTCAAAGAAGCATAAATCAAGCCTCGGCACACCTCATAAATCCGCATTGTCTTGTGCCCAACCACCATCAGCTACTACTACCGCAAAAAGACTGACTATCAATCCACCCAAAGATACATCACACATTCAAATCAAATGTACAAAATCAAAATCAGCCAATCAATCATCTTCATCTTCACCACCTTTGTCCACTTCGAATGCATCGGCAAAGAGACCACACTCTTTGTCCCTTGAAGATGGCAACACAGCCATGGCATCAAAGCATAGTAAAGCGCCCAAGAAGAAGGATAAAAAGCTCCCTCTTTCCGAAAAAGCCAATGTCAAGAAAGACAGCCCACATCAGCAGGACACCACTAGCTCTCCTGCTTCAGTAACCACAGTCTCCATGGTTACTACTTCAAACGCTGCTGCTTCTTCTTCTTCCTTTACGTCCACTACTGTTCCTCCACACCAACTACCAGCCAATATCATCTACGGATACCCCCCGCCTCATCAAGCAGGCTATATCTACTCACATCCTCCCGCAATGTATCAACTCGCTCCTAACGGGTACCCACAGCCACACCCTTACCCAGAGCCCGTGTATTACTATCCACAGCCATCCAATACAACCACACCTTCGCCACCACTACCACAGACAGCACTGCAAAACGGTCATGTTGCCTATCATTTGCCTTCGCCTGTATTCATTCCTCATATACCAATGCAGCTGCCACCTTTGCAATTACAACTACCCCCCTTTCCAACGAGCCCTCTGCTTGGATCTCCAGTATCTCTAGCTCAACAACAGCCTGAAATTTCCACATCGCAAGCTCGTGAAAGCCCGTATCCATCACTTGTCACTCAAGGTATGTACAATGTTTTTTCTTTTTTTCGTTGGATCATGGTACTCATTCGATTCGTAGTGTATACACATACTGTTGCCCATCCTGAAAGAGAGACAGATCAAGTGGATATTAAACAGGAAAAGGAAATTGATGGTAGCCGTTTGAATGACGCTCCTACACCAGATTATGAATACAGCGACCCTGAAGAGGAGGAAGAAAATGTCGATCAAGCATCCTCTGGCGATGCGCTAAGTGCGCAAGAGGAACCAGACTCGGACGATGACATGATGGGTTCGCCTATATCTAGCATGCATTCCGGTGATACAGACTCATATAGCTCATCTATCAATGATCATGATGAGCACGACGTCAAGCGTCATTCCGAATCGTCTGATACAGTTGAACACAGCTCAGTTTCTCGTTCCAATGCGACTACCGAACCAAGAGAAGCGACATTGTCCAGCCATCATTCAGTGTCAAGTAGTGAAGCCCAACAACCTGCTGCAGACACCATCCACAGCACTACCATTACCAAACCCTTCACTTGCTATGCAGATCAGTTCGAACACCAAGCGCCCTCCAAAGCTCATATGAAGACAGCAGCAGATTTATGGTACAAGATATCCAGCTTTGCCTCACAAAAGCAGATTCCCATTGTGGACATACGTATATACGACGACGACGACTTGATCTTGATCCCATCGCAACACCACAGTGAACTCAAGAGCGTATTCTGGATACCCAGCGACAACACTAAAGTGATCCAACTGTTTCGAAGAATGACCATCAACCAACGTGTCAGTGAAATTGTAGGATTGATGCAATTGACACGACTTCCTCATATGCCTCAGGTACACCAATTGCTGCATGATGGACACGGTGAGATCATAGGCGTGTGCATGCAGCGTTTTGAGATGACATTGAAGGAATATACACAACACCACAACACCACAGCACAGCAAAAGCTGGATATGGTGATTCAGATGATTGAAAGTGTCTTGATTTTGCATGAAATCGGTATGGCGCATGGTGATTTATCAAGCTGGAATTTCATGGTCAACAAGACGCATCAGACACTAAAAGATGGTAGCGAAAAGGTGGATGTGTGGCTTACTCAGTTCAACAGAGCAGTGTTTATCCATGCTTCCGATTACAGAGAATGGTGGGTCGAGTGTCCACGCAAGATCAATGCGGATTACAGTGCTCAAATCGTGCCCAAGGACGAACAAGAGCTGGACATGTGGTGCAAGGTATTGCCCTTGATACGAAGCAAGCCAGTGCATCGCAACTACTGGTATCATCCTATTGAAGCATTGCCCAAGCATCCATCTGATCAGGACATGCTGCCTCGTCCAGTGGATCCCGTTGCTCAAGATTTGTATACGCTTGGTATGATCATTTGGGAGCTCATTTCAGACAAAGAGCCATGGGATTCATTGGAAAAGAACGACTTGCATGCATTGCGTCAAGTGATCCAAAAGGATGAAAGCTTGGAGAGAGTGCTGCGACATGAGATGCCTGGCAGTGTCAGCATTGAGTTGCTTTTGAAGTTGTTGCAAGTGCAAACGGACAAGCGATGTAGTGCAAAGGCAATGCTCTCATGGATATCCGCACCTGGCATTGAGACTGCATTGATCAATGAATGGACAATCACTCACAAACGACCTTTGGGAGAGTTGGTTATGAATGGTGGCAGTGGTAGCCTTCACAAAAAGTTAAAGTTGTAATAATAAAAAGTCTTGTACATTGAAAAATTGCTATACACAGGGTTGCCCTGATTTGGGTTTATTTGAGAGAGATCAAATAGGAAGTACAGAAACAGCTCTTCTACCGATATATGCTGAACCGTACCTTAAGGTGGAGACACCTCCAGGAATGTACGATCCAACGTACCTGTCATGGATTTGCTTAATACAAAGTTGGTTCACTTGTGTCGATAGCTTACCAGATCAATGCAATAATTTGAATAATAGCAAAAATGATGGTCAAAATCATGGCACGCAACTAAACAAGCTACATGTTAGCAAGCCCACTACTTGACCTATCCACCTCAAACACTTACACCCAAAGCTGCATACAATGTCAATATCATGGATCCAACATACGAGACTGTGAATGGTAATCTTTCCATTGATATCATGTGTTTGATATGGGATAATGGACCACGTAGTAAAGCTACGCTCACCAAAATCAAGATGCTACCCACTACACAGAAATTAGCAACACACAAAAAAAAAAAAAGGCAATATATCAAATCAAGACTTGCATGTAAATGTAGCAGCGAATTTTCCCGGGAATAAAGGTAAAAAGAAAAAGGACTAGCATAGGCATTTAGTAAAGAGGAAAACATGCAAAATACAACTACAGCATACCAGAGCAAAACAGCCCACGCCCAATACAAGACACAAAGCAAAAGCCATCACTCTCTACACAGGATGCATTTTTAGTTTCCATGGCAACATGACAGCAGTTCATGTTCTTATACCTCTACACGAGACAGTTGATACCAAGGATCCTCTTCTTCTTCAATATCACCACTGCTTAATGGATTGTAACCTTGAATTGTACTTGATACGCTTGAGAAGACATTTGTTGCACTATCACGGAATGACTGAAATGCTGAACCCGATGTGGACGATGCACCTGTATTTGTAGGTAAAGAGATGCTGGCTTTGTTTCCTCCTCTGGATGATTGAAAGTTCTTGAGTGAGTTTTTAAAGGTATTTTCGGTTGACATAATGATGATTAGGGAAAGAAAGGAGGAGAAGGAGGAGGAGAAGGAAAATGAATTTTTTTTTTTTATTGTTAGTAGAAGAGTAATTATTCTTTATATGTAAGATATGTATAAAAATGTACGGTAGGTGCGATAAAAGAAAGCGAGCGATTAATTGATGTAGTATCTGTTAATCCAATCACGTACAAAGATACTTGCTTTTGAAGCCTTCTTTGTGGACCACTTTTTAAAGAATGCATCATGGGTAACGGTTTGAGAGAGATAGTCCAGCATGGCCTCCACAGTGCATCGAAAGTCGTGTGGTGCGTAACCTGATAGCTTTGTCAAATGACTGCTCCATTTGCCCTTGGCCAGCATCTTTTTCGACAACCACAAGGCAGCAGCAGCAATCTTTGAGGGACGGACACCAATGAATCTGTGATCAATGCAAGAGATTTCCATAAAGTATCTCGCCAATGTACGGGTATGAACATCACAATTCATTTCTGCAGTGCAGACACGTCGTAGGAAGTTGAGCGGATTGGGGTAACAGAGACGAAAGTCCAAGATTTGCATGATGAAACGCTCTGCCTTGATAAAGTCGTCCTCGTTGACACCTTTATCGGTCATGTACAAAAAGTCTTGCATGATGGGGCACGTATTCTCTTCAAACTTGGTTGCAATGTACAAGCAAGTGATACCCACGAGCTGAAGTTTACCAAGAGCTACGGAACGCAGAGATAAGAAGCGATCCATGATATTCACAGCCAAAAAGAGGGTCTCTGGAAGCAAGTCGAATAAATAATGAATTTCAATCACCCAGTCCACCAGCACACTGCGCATCTTCCACGAAATCTCATGCTGTTGGTTGTTGGCATACTTGGGATCTGCCATGACATCAGGTTCAGAATCAAAGAGATAACCGAATATTTCACCAGCATATTCAGCGACAAGCATAGGATCGTTCCATTGATCTTCTCGAAGCGATTGCGTTGTTTGAAGCATGGCTAGTTTGGCTCGCATCTCTTGTTCGTGTTCGTATTGGATCGCTTCCTGGTTCAACTCGAAGCCTAAGGGAGGAGCGTTTTCGACAAAGAGATCTTTGGGATGCGATGAGGATGTTTTGAGTTTCTTTGCGGCGGCAAGCGAAGAGGAGGAGGCGTCGTGTGGGCCTTCAAAGGAATCAAAGGAACGTTTGTTGCTATTGCTGCTGTTACTACCCAGCTTGTGTGCAGTGTCTTTGATGAACAGATGCTTCATTTTCTCTGGCACTTTGATGGGCAGAACGGGTACAATACTGATGGTCTCTTCTTGTTGTTCTTGTTGACTCTGTGCGTATCGAGATTCGTTATCTCGAAAGAAGTCTTCTTTGGTTGCAGCAGTTTGATCAAGGGTATCTTGTTGTTTAATCGTGGTTGTGGTGGTAATCTTTTCATCGACAAGTACTTTGGTGGCGAGGGAGGAGGAGGAGGAGGAGGAGGAAGTCGTTATCGTCTCTTTAACGATCTTTGAGGATTGCAACTGTATATTTCATTGTTGTAAGTTGTTTGGTCTAAATATAACAAAGCAACACATACCTTGGATTGAAGTGCTCCTTTGTTGCTCTTGTCAGAGAGGATGGGACGTGGCTTGACATTAGCATCGAACCCTGATTTTGGCTTTGATGAGACGTTGGTGGATTTTGAAGAAAGACCTAATGGCTTGTTGGTGGAGGTAGAGAGACCAAGAGGTTTGGCGTTTTCTCCTTGCTGATTCTCTGCCATTGGATTTCTTCGTACATTTTCCTAAGAGATATATAAAAAGGGTGAGTATTTGTAGCTGTGGCGACAAGCCAAAAGGAAAGGATAAGCGCGATTTACACGTTGTGAAAGACCGTGATTCATTATTCAAATTGTTGCGTATGCAATAAACAGGCGTAATTTAAGCAAAAGGAATGTGTAGAAAAATAAAAGAGGGATTCTCTCTGGTTTTTTTTTGGTTTTTTTGTTTTCGGTCTCTTTTTTCCTTGTCTATCAAGATTGTATGGTAATCCTATCACAACAGATGTTTCAAGAGAAAAAGGATGAAAATGCACTTTAGAAGAACAATCAAATGAACCGAAAGAGGGGAGAAGAGGGGGGGGGGGGGGAGGGGAAAAAATTTATCGCCTTCATTGCACACACACACGCACACAACATTTCACACAGCACATCACTTGGTTCGCCTCTTTCCAATGTGACGTTACAAAACGCATCTTATTTGCTGTGATTTCGCGCGCGCCCGCGTTGAATCGCGTTATTGAGAAACAATCAAATGGCATGGTCATGATGATGGCATCCTGCTATCTCTATCCATGTTTATTAATCGTCTAATTGATCATTGGCACCCCACAAAAGCTCTTCGTCTTCTTCCAATTCCTCTTGCTCGAGTTCTTGGTCCAATTGAGATTTCTCATTGGAGAATGCTTGCGTTGTTGTAGCGGCATTGGTCTTGGATTTGGATGCCTTCTTTTTGCTGGCCGTTGTCAATGTCATATGGGTCGATGCTACCATGTCCTTGACCATGGCAACGCTGAGCCCCTTCTCCCATATGTTGATCTCGCGGTAATAGGCTTGCAAATTGACAGAGTTATCCCATGGACTTTGATAACGGTCATTCAAGGGCTCAATAGATCCGAACCAAACACCTCTCACAATAGATCCAATCGACTCTGGGTACGTCCAATGAATGCTACTGGAAGCAACATAACCGTCCAGGTACAAAGCAATAGGCGGCTCTCCTAGATTGCTCTTTGGGTCATTTATCACCAATGCATAATGGTGGTATTCTTGATCTACAGCATAGGGCGAGGGCCTCAATGCCAAATCTTCAATTTGAGCCCACTCCCACTGATCATTTCTACGCACTGTCTTGACTTGGAACGACAGCGAGCCATTCTCTAGCACATGGGTGGATACATAGATTCTGCCATTGTCTGTCTGAATCACCATGGCCATTTGATCCTTGCTTGTGCTGGATGTCTTCATCCACCAACTGACTGTCATTGACTTTGCTGATGTCTCTGTTGGCATGTTGAGAAAGATATAGCTGGTATCGCCTGATAGATAGATGCTGTCATCGACATATTTGCCATTTCGAATCAGCCCATTCAAATCGTTGCCTGAATCGTCCTGTGCGGGCAGCGGGTTTGTTTCTTTTCTCTGTGCTAAAGTGGGTTCCTTGAGCGACCAATGCCCGATTAGCTTGTCAGCTCGTTCCGTATGCGATAGAATACGACATGATCTCGGTCTTGGATCCGGCTTACCGTCCAACAACAAAGGTCTGATTTGACAGTAGAGACTATTGTCGATTTCCATGACAACCTTTTCATCGATATCCTTCATCAAGTTCTTGTTGGCAGCGGATTCCCAGATATGTGTACCGAGATTGGCAGAGAAATCGTAGCTCTTTTCCAAGTACAATGTGCGCAATCCATGGCTGTCCCATAGCGGCCAGAAAAAAGCAGTGTGATTCAATACAGTGATCTCGTTGCGAAAGAAGGGTGCCAATTTGCCGGGTAAAATGACTGAATGATAGTTCCATTCCGCGCTGTCGAATAATGCATAAGTGGCGAACCATCGTTGAACAAAACGAGAATGAGGTCTTGCCATGATCATGGCATTGCAGAGGCCAACTGAGCCATCTAGTTGCCTCGAAGCGTTAGACAGTTTCCATCGCTCAGTATTCAATGCACTTACCAACGCCTTCTTGCGCCATGATAAATTCACGGTCCAACAAATGATCCACTGGCTTTACCGAGATCAGATCAAGGTCTAGATAGATACCGCCAAACTCTTCCAGCACTTGTAAACGCACCACATCCGCACGATGAGCGTAATGACTAACTGGACGATCAAACACCTTTTCGACAAGAGGCACTTTGTTGAGCGTCAGCATGGGTCTAGCTCTTTCAAAATTGTCTCCCACAGGCATGTAATGGTAATGAAACATGATTTTGTCTGGTTTGAGTACGTCGTGAGCAGCTTTGATGGCAGTGTAGTGGATCAAATCCAGTGTTGGGTTGGGATCTCGAAGACCGTAGACGAAATGAACAATTTTGGGTATCGCTGTGCCCACAGTGCTTAGTTTTGTTTCGCGAGCAAGTGTTAGCTCTTTAAAGTCTTTAGCATCTGAAGAAGCAGGTGGGGGTAGGGTCACCTCGAGGTTGTTGTGAGATGTGGGCGCTGTAGGCTTGTTGCTTGTGTCTAACGGTGCTGTGGTATCAGTTGATTTTCTAGATGAATGCCACCGACCCAGTAGAAACAGGACAATGAGGGCCGTGAGAGCCACTCGCCACAACAGTTTCTGTCTTTGCCTGGGTGATTTCCGTGAGTATGATGTATAGAATGGCAGTTTATTATAGCTGGATGCGCTTCTTGTGGTAAACATATATAAAAGAAAAGGAAGAAGAAAAAAAATTAAGCTAAATGCGGAAATTCCTGAATCACTTTAAGAATGGTAGTGCCCGCTAATCCATTTGCCCAACTAAACCAAGGTCGAGTGAAACGGCTGGGATGATTTACATTGAAGGATTCGCACATAAGACTGCCCGTCTTTCTCGCCATGCGCTTCAATACATCAATCAAGTATCGAATCTCTTTCTCGGAGGAAGAGGTCTGTATTTGCATGAGCAGGCTCATGGGCCAAACCATGTCTTGACCTGTGTGTGGTCCGCCTATACCGCTTGCAAAGCTGCCCCGAAAGAACCACGGGTTCCACTCTGAAAGCACAAAGTCTCGGGTGTTTTGGTAGATGGCATCGTTCTTGTCAGTGAACCCTAATACAGGCAGACTCAGCAGCGAAGGTGTGTTGGCATCGTCCATCAGCAATTGGGAGCCATAGCAATCCACTTCGAATGCAAATACTTGGCCAAAGACAGGATGCTTCACCACGGCATGCTCGTAGATCGCTCTACGCACTGTTTCTCCCAATTCCTTTGCCTTGATACCCACATTGTACTGTACATGGAAACGATCGCTTTCTCCTTGTGCCTGAGCCGATTTCAAGTAGAGTTCAATGTGTTTGCTCAGCTTGATGAGTTGCACTGATAGCTGGGCATTGGAGGGAATCTAGAGTACAGCATGTCAAAAACACACATGAACTGATCAAAAAGACAGCCAAAGCTTACTAGATAGGGAAACGTGGTAGAGTCGTCGCTTGGTCTAAAAGCGCTCCTGACTAGCCCACACTTTCTCGTGATGCCTCCGATGCCATATTCTCCCAACGTCTCTGTAGGTCTGTCTGTGTATCTTCTGAATCGATAGCCGTCTTTCAATGACACTGGTTCAGGATCCTCTGATAAAGAAGCGTTTGGCTCGAATAATCTGACTTGACTGGATGGCCATGTATTCTCCATTTGATCTCTCAAGACTTGAAATAGGCGTGGAATGGCCTTCAACCAATCTTGCGATGTCACTACTCTTTCCACATCGCCCGTTGCTTCCATGTAATCGTTGGTCAACTGAAAGAAATGACCAATGGAGTCTAACTCGTACTATTATCGTCTCACAGAGGTCAGCATGATATCATTGCTACGACTTGGGCCGCCTGTAAATACCTTGGATTCCCATACAATGTCTGGATCATAAGGTGGTACTACACGGTCTGATGTGGAGCCTCTCTTCTGCCCTTCCTTTTTTGGTGCGTACCAAGGTCTTAGGAAAGCATTGGCATAGGGATCATAGTGCAAATAGCTTGCTTGTACTTGAATGACACCAAATACCAAGTCTTTGAGCTGTTGATCTTGCTGTACAAACCTCAAATAAGGGGTGATTTGATTTGTTGAATCACGTATCCACATGGCAGGAACTTGATTTCATAAAGTTAGTAGCCATCATTCACGCCAGGTGTAGTTTATATTGCATTGACATACTATCCCCTGTTATCAAAAACGTCCTTGGATCCTTTTTATCACTGCTAACCCATTCCACCGTTGTATCCAGCGTGTTTGGTAAGCAGTTCTGCAGCAGCGTATATAGGTCCTTGTCTTTCATGGTAGATGCTAATGAGTCGAGATAGTCCTCGATTGCTTGGCTGGTGAATTTTTTTTCTTTGGGCCGAACAAGCTTCAATCCATAGTAAGGTGGTTCGTAAGGCGGAAGGTCTGATCTGTTGTGCTGCACCGGCGGCTCTAAACGAGGGTCGTTGTGGGGTAGCAAGTAGCGGAATACCATGACCAGATTCATCAGCACGATGAAAAAGATCAGTAAAGCCACTGGTATGGTCTTTTTGAGCGCTCGTTCACTAAACACAGGCATTCGGTTTGTATGTGGGAGTGAAGGAACAAGGGAAAAAGAAGCATGAGAACGCTAGATAATGCAGAATTTATAGACAGTGTTTAGTTTGGTGTCACCTGAATTTGGATTTGTGTATATAAGAGTGATGTTTTATTATACGCCAATAAATGGGTATCATGAAAGGGCTATGTACGGTAGACAAAGTGTTGGTTTTCTTTATCAGTCATGTCTTCAAGGTCATCAGGCAAAGCAGCGATATTCACATTCTTATCAAGGTGACGCTGCTTGTTCGTCTTGACGTACACAAGTCGAACATAGGCAAAGAGCAGGATGGCCAGCACGTTGGCAGCAATGTACACGCCCATGCCCGAGAGATAGCGAGGTGCTTCTTTATCGCGCAACAAAAGGGGGCCTGCAAAGTTGCCAATAGTATAAAACACGAGATTGGCAGCAGTGTAAAAGATCTTTTTGGTATAACCAGAGACATTGCTGGAGATGGAAGCTTGTAGCAGGACGTACTATGTATGTATGTATAGCATGTGAGATGAGGATGTATAATCCTATAAAGCATGTGCTTACCGAAGGAGTGCATCCGCCACTCAGATAAATGCCCATCAATTTGACGCCGCCTGAGGGAATAGCAGCCAGCATGGTCAAACCAGTAATGGATATCACCAAGGCACCCATAGCCACATAGATGGCTTCGTTGTATTTCTTGCTGAGCCATGTACTGATAAAGATCATGGTGATGATAGCACCGGCATAAGGCATGGTGAGTAGGATGGCATCTGTGCTGTTGAACCCAAGATCAGAGATAATAATGGTATTGAAACTGGTCAAGGCGCCGTTCTGGAAATTGAGAAACATGGAGATGAGACAGTAGCAGTAAAGCCTTGGCTCCTTGAGCGCTTCCCAGATTTGGTTCATCTTGATCTTGCGATTAGGCACGACGGCATTATCTCTTGCACGGTCCTCTACAATCAGCTTTTCCTCTTCTGTCAACTTGAACCAGCGTGAATCAGAGCGATCAGGCATAAAAAAGAAAAAGACAATACCGGCTGTCATGGTAGCCGACCCGTAAATGACCATGGCCCATTTCCAAGGAGAAAAGAAACCAACGGTAGGCATTCTCAGAATACCCACAGCGGCACCGTTGCCAATGACGGTAGCTACACTGTTGCTGATAAACATGATGCCAAACCAAAAGACTTGTTCTGATCTTCTGTACATGGTAGCGATCAACAAGAAGACAGCAGGGTATGTGGTTGCTTCAAAGAATCCCAGCAAGAATCGAAGACCAGCGAGTTGACTGAAACTATGAGCAAAGCACATACAAAAGAGCACAGCGCCCCACATCACCAGCATCACACCAATGTATTTGGAAATGGGAAACTTTTGCATCATGAAATTGTTGGGTAATTGCATACAGAGATAACCCAGGTAAAAGATAGAATTACACCATGCATATTGATCTCTGTCGATGCCTACATCGTTAAAGAATTCAGGAACCAGAGCGACAATGGCTAATGTGCCTTTATCAATAAACTAGTAACTGTGAGTTGTCCTGGTCACTGTAAGCTGCCTGTTTCATGACATACCTGTAGAAAGAGAATAATGCACACGAACGGGATAAAATGTCTGTTCATTTTACTGACAAGCTTGACTTCAGCCTCGGATTTCTCAAATGGCACCTGTTCTTTTGTCTGGAACTCACTTTTGGATACAAAGCTGGAAGGTTTCTTTTCATCCATCTTGCTCTTTTTTTGCTTGTTTGTTTGTTGATCGAGTAAGAATGTCAAGTCCACAATGCTGTGTATTTATATACATATCATTTCGAGTTGCACAATAAACAGATCTAAACTGCTTGTTATAAAAAAAAAACAGGGCTTCTTATCAAATTCACACACACGCTGTTACATCTTGGTTAAGATACTCAATCGACATTTAAAGTTTCTACACTTTCCAAACTATCCTGGACTTATCAATAGGATGGTTCTTTTAATCCTTTGATTAGGGCAATCTACCAGAATCTGCAGATATAATTCACTTTTGTCTAAAACCATGGCCGCATCACTTATAACAAGTACATGAGAATTCTTTTGGCATACTACTAGACACTAAATAATCCTTATTTTTTCTCATCCCTGCTTCATCCTTGTGTATTGTACGTTGTATTTAGTTTTTAAAGTTTCAGAGATTTCCCATATGTCAAAACACGCTTAAAAAAAAAAGCGAGACAATCCAAACCAAAGATTACAAGGCAACAATAGTAAATTGGTAGTTATTCTTGACCAGAAGAGACGATAAAACTTATCTGGTTATCTGTTTGTCTGGTTGAACCGTGTAAAAGATGATAAACTTCAAGTTACAATGTAGATATCGCATCAAGCCGACAACGAGCAAATTGAATGTGATACGTGAAAATGAATATCTCAAATTCTAATTTTTTAGCCAGAAAAAAATACATGAAATGTCAACTTATCTGGTAAGAGGTACTCACAGGTTCACATGAGCAAGAGTGATACACTTGTCTATAAAAGGACTGCTAGAAATTAGGTTCAAGAGGGGGGGGAAAAAAAAACTGCTGGTGGAACCATAAAGCAGTAGAGAGTGCGCAGATCAAATCATTCATCATAGGTGATTCTCGGAACTGCATCACCCAAACTTGGGTGAAATGGATCGTATGCTCTACGCACCTCCTGTCCCATAGTAACAGTTGCTCTCACTGTATGTCTTTGTTTGGCAACGAATTCAGCGAGTGTTTGTACAGATTCATCACAACGATCACCAGACTCGATCATATATACAGGGTATAATCCTTCTATGCGCTATAATTCCATGCTATGGGTAAACTCTCAACAAGCGACCCGAGAGTCTCATTGGTAGATACAAATCTTGTCCTATGGCTGCATTTTAGCTTTTACTGTTTGTAACAAGTGTCTCCACGCTTCGTTGAGAACCAACATACGCAGCGGCAGCGCAAGTTATCCATTATCTCCATTGATCTTATCGAAATACAGTAAGCTACACAAAATAGTCCGTTAATGTGGTAGAGCGTTCCGTAATCTCATGACAACCTTTTATTAACAGCTTGTAATGGTGGATTCCAAGGTACTCCGCGTCTGTATTAACGAGATAATTCTGTTTACTGGCAGACACCATCTTTGCAAGGCCTCTTACTCAACAAAACTATACAAAACAAAGCGGCATTTAGATGCATTTAAGCCGTGATTTCTGGCGTTAGAAGCCGTTCTAGACCGCTAGAGTAGCGCCAAATCATTGCTCTTGATTAGCACTTGCTTACTGACACGTTTACTCAACTTTCCTGGGTACTAAAAAAAAACCATTGACCAAATTTGACCAAAAAGCATGAGGGGTACCTCATGATTTTCATCGAAAATCAAACAACCGCATTTTCGACCCTAAAAACACTTTCACTACGGCATATTTTGGATCAAAATGTTCCTCTCAATCCAGAGCAACCCTTGGAACTTTGTTTTGAAGACTTTAATATGCAAAATCTCGGCATTTTTGCAGAAAACCTCTTCATATTTTTGTATATGGCTGGATAGTTTTATTCTAAAAACATTTCTCAAATAGCACCATTGGATGCGCCTTGAAAAGTGCTCCAAGAATGCCTTAAAAAACGTGGATGGATCATCACAGTTTATATAGTCGAATCTAGCAAAATAGATCGAATATGATCCAAAAAGCTTGAAAAGTAGCAAATCAGGACAGAATGTCTAGCGGAGATTTAACTGATTTTGGCTGTTGCCGAAATGCCTTCTGTGTAGATTTTCGAGATCCATAGGGTGCTCTGCTAGACGTTAAACTGTTCTGTAGTTGGTTCAGCATTACTGTAAACGTCGTCCAATTCTAATTGCACATGAGTTTTTTCGAATATTACTGCTAACTGCTCGCTAAATCCACCTAAAAATAATGTATAGTTTCTTGAGATGTGGCCAAATTAACAAGCTACTTATGTTGGCCTGTTGTCTTGGATGTGGACTTGATACTTTTGTTTTAGCGTCATATGTAAGGCTTTCCATGTGTGGATACTCGTTAGCAAAGCAACTAAGCCATTTTTTTTTGTACAAGTGCCTCAAGGCGGCCTCGCATATTGCTTGCTGTAGAGATAGACACTAGCTTCATTCCAAATGCTGTACGGATGCTGCATCATCTACTGCTCTTTACAATCGTCAAGATTGCTATTCAAAATACAAGACAAAAAGGCAAACAATAACAGACTTGCGGCACTGATGATATACAGATTTCGTCAGGAACTTGGTGTGGAAGTCTCAATTCAGGCGTAGCCTAAGCTTTCAACTTGAATGGCTCGGTATTTTATATCTGTGCTCACATCAAATAATTTAGTATGAGCAAACGGTAGCTCACAACTTTATTGGCAAACAAAAAGGCCCTAATTTTCAAAAGTCAAGGCAACGCCGAGCCTATGAGCATTTTCATTCAAGCGGTTTGTGTCTACAGTAGCGCCAATGTTGATCTTGACGCCAGGACGAACAAGTTGAGTGAAAGAAGCACCTACAACACCAGAATTGGTGATCTTGCCTTTGACAAAAGCGGTGCTGTCAAGGCGAAGCTTAGCACCAACTTCAAGAGCAACACCATCGATGGAAGCCTTGTTGCTCCAAATAGCCTTACCAGAAGCTTCCAAGTCAGGATTGACACGATGATAGTAGGAGGCAGTGTATTGGGACATGCTGTTAGTGGCATGCACAGCGATAGCATACGCATCGGTGGAGTACCCAATAGCACCATGGTATCTACTGATCTGTCATACACACAACACGGCTGAGTCGCACTGCTTGTGGTGTGTTGTTAATACACATGGCTTACCTTTGACTCCCTTGCGCCATAAGCAACCTCAGCTCCAACAAGGAATCCATTACGGCCAACAACGGAATTGAGAATCAAGTTGTTCTAAACATAGAATGAGATAGATGTCTTTTTCTGTAATATTGAAATACACAACCTTGAATACATCCAGGGTAGCAACAGTATGGAAATTAGGCTGCTTATAAGTAGCGTTCACCTTGGCGCCCTTTTCATTGATTGAGGGAAGGAGAGAAGTGATCACCTCTACTTTGAGGCCCTCTATTGTACCCGCACATATCAGTATATTAGAACACACATCAGTAGATAACCTTGAAATACATTACTAGCAAAACTGTTCTCCAACTCAATCTTGCCGTTGAGATGATTGGAGGTAGTCCACACCTCAGTGACAGACACGCCATTCTTTCTATCGGCCCACTTGGTTTCGAGATCGCCTACGATGATACCAGTCTTGTTGTCACGGTTACCATTCACTTTGAAAGTCTAACTTATTGCATCAGTAGAGAGCAAAGACGCTTGTCTGCGACACACTGCACTTACAACGCCATTGGGAGCTGTGGTCTTGACCTCCAGCTTCACACCGCCAACAGGATAATCTTTGGTGAGCAGATCCTTTGCAGGCTTACCGATATCGTTGAATGCAACTAGAAACAAGTTAGACACACACTAACGCGTAAGGCGCTTCACGTTTACCAGGGATAGACATCTACAAAATAGGTGCACATTAGACTGTGATGCGAGGCTGTGTTAGAGTATAGCACGCTTACGCTTATTTTTACTATGCAAAATGTTGTTTAGAGAAACAAAAAGATATGTTTATTCAACACGGAGTTTATTAAATGTGGGTAAATATGGAAGCAAGGATTATTATGATCAAGAAGAAAGGGGTAAAATAGTGTATAAACAAAAGAGAATCATCATGAAACATTTTGAATCATTATACAATGACGAATCTCTTTAGTATTCAATTTCTTCTTCTTCAATTTCAGAATCGCCCAAGGAATCAGATCCAACTTCCTCGTAATCCTTCTCGAGAGCAGCCAAATCCTCACGAGCCTCAGAGAATTCACCTTCCTCCATACCTTCTCCAACATACCAATGGACAAATGCGCGCTTGGCGTACATCAAATCAAACTTGTGGTCAAGACGGGCCCAAGCTTCAGCGATGGCAGTAGTGTTGGAGAGCATACAGACAGCGCGTTGGACAGTAGCCAAGTCGCCACCAGGTACAACAGCAGGGGCTCTGTTATTGATACCCACCTTGAAGCCAGTAGGGCACCAATCAACGAATTGAATTGTACGCTTGGTCTTGATGCTACTGATAGCAGCATTGGTGTCCTTGGGAACAACATCACCACGATACAGCAAACAACAAGCCATGTATTTACCGTTGCGAGGATCACACTTGACCATTTGGTTGTTGGGCTCGAAACAAGCATATGTGATTTCAGCAGCAGAAAGCTGTTCGTGATAGGCCTTGGCAGCAGAGATGATGGGAGCATAGGTCACCAGAGGGAAGTGAATACGAGGATAAGGGACCAAGTTGGTTTGGAATTCATTCATGTCCACATTGAGAGAGCCATCGAAACGCAAAGAAGCAGTGATGGAGGAGACCACTTGAGCAATCAAACGGTTCAAGTTTTGATAGGTAGGACGCTCAATATCCAAGTTGCGACGACAGATATCGTAAATGGCTTCGTTGTCAACCATGAATGAACAATCAGAGTGTTCCAATGTAGTATGCGTAGTCAAGATGGAGTTGTAAGGTTCAACGACAGCAGTGGAGACCTGAGGAGCGGGGTAGACAGAGAATTCGAGCTTTGATTTCTTGCCGTAATCAACGGAAAGACGCTCCATCAAGAGAGCACCGAAACCAGAGCCAGTACCACCACCGAATGAGTGGAAGACCAAAAAGCCTTGAAGACCAGTACAGTTGTCGGCCAACTTGCGGATACGATCCAAGACAGAGTCTACCAACTCTTTACCGACGGTATAATGACCACGAGCATAGTTATTAGCGGCATCTTCTTTACCAGTGATTAATTGCTCTAAACAAAAAAGGTAAATCATCCCATCTACAACCATCACTCTAGCAACGCGTCCTATTTACCAGGATGGAAGAGCTGTCTGTAAGCACCAGTGCGCACTTCATCAACCACAGTGGGTTCCAAATCAACAAAGACTGTACGAGGGACATGCTTTCCGTTACCAGTTTCACTGAAGAAGGTGGAGAAAGAGTGGTTGGTTACTTCTTGTTCTTGAGGAATAAGACCATCAGGTTGAATGCCATGTTCCAAACAGTACTATTTGTTTGTATATATATATATATATATAAGACGGCAAGTTCAAAGCTCAACTACCATCATAAACTTACAAGCTCCCAACAAGCATTACCAATTTGAATACCAGCCTATTCATTTGAAATGAATTACTACCTTGTTTCTTGACCATGTTCTCTCTCTCTCTTTCTCTCTTTCTTGAGAGCAAGGGCTCATGGAGGGAACAAACTTTGCTTTACCTGACCAACGTGAACACTAATAATCTCTCTCATCTTCTTAGAGTTTGAATGAATCAAAAAAAAAAAATTCAAGAAGAAAAAAGAAAATAAAGAATTGAATAGAGTCAAGGTTTTAAAAAGGAGAACGAGGAGAGAGGGGGGGGGGAGGAAGAGAGAGACTTTTTTTTAGCGAGTTGTTGTAGTATTGTAATACAAAAGGGGGATTGAAGGATTTGGAAGGTAGTGTATCTCTTTCAAAGGGAAAGGGGGTTGTTGTATATCGTCATTTTAAATCTCCTCCTACTGCTGCTGTCTATACTTTCATGCTATCAAGCGAGTTTTGCTAGGCACGTTTGCAGCAGTAGTGTGTACCTCTTCATGATATGCTTGCGCACTACTGCTTGTCAGATGTCTCCATCATTTGATCGGCTTGTCAATGTCGTTTTATTGACCTGATCTAAACAAACATCCCGCATCAACAGATTGCCTTTTTGCCTCATCAAATGGATGTATGATGCAGGCGCACAAGTTTTTTGGCGTGTGCTAAAAGAAGCCAGTTAGGATCATTTGTCGCGATTATCCGCTATTGATGCGTACAGCAGAACATGCTAGATGATGGCTATCTGGTGTCACAGCCTAAATTGCATAGACACTTTTGAATAAAATGAAAAGCATCACCTTTTAACCATTTCAGTAGACTTGAAGCTGTGCCTGGATCAGCAGTTGAATAGGAGTTTATTATCGGCACCGCATGTCAACCACTGTAACGTTGAATGCAAACTTGTAACGCCAGGTATGAGCAAGTAGCGTATACAAAAGAAACCATGTCGCTTCTCCTTCTGTCAGAAAAGAGGTAACCCCACTAATTTCGAACACTGCTAAAAAAAAAGAGCTTCTCTGGCATACGTGTTGCACAACATGATACCAGTCTCTTGTAACTATTATAATCAGCATGCCTTCAGTTCCAGCTTTCAAGAAATCAAGCCACATCTAGTGCCAGCAAAGCTGATGTTCTTTGTTTGCGTCTGTTTACATGTAAACACAGTGTAGGATACACAAAATATGTTGCTCATTTGCGCATATGTTTCTAATACAATTTTTCCCCTAGTACACATTACAGCATTGTAATACAACATCAGTGAGTAATTTATGTGTGAATCGTCTGGAATCTACATGTGAGCACAATGTCACACTGGATAAGAAGATAAAACGTGGGCTTGATTCATTTCAATCATACAAACTTTTGGTTTTGAGTATCTATATATTCAGAATGATACATGCTATTTTGAGCCAGTTACTACTGATGCACATTGTAGATGATTCAATGTTATTTAGATCTCTCATTTTGTTGCTTCTATTTAATAGTAGATTGATTTCTAATGTGCTCCTCACTACCGGCAATAGGGTTGCTTGGCATCGTTTTGTTGAACATTTCGTCTCTAACGACCTGATTTCAACAGTTTTCTGTCATCTGTGGTTAGGCTTCTGTACCAAATCCTAAACTATGAGAGTTGTGAGTACATGGCAATGTGCTGATGGCTCATTTGGCGCAGCAATCTGTTCAGTTTTGACAAAACTGCTTTTGCATTTCAACTGCAATGATGGAATTCATCCGCGCGGCATTTTAATATAAACGTTTTGGCCCTCTGTTTTGTTCAAACATGTGATTCATTGCTATATCATTTACATTTTAATTTTGTATCCTTTCTTTTCTCTTTTTCTTTCAATACACTTTATTTTTGCAACGAATCGTTTACCGAGATTATGTCAGTTATTATCGAGCCCTCAGATCAATTAGAATTTCACCGTAAGGATGGACCTACACGCATGCAGTGCAAACCAAGACAAGATGTATTGAATTATGGTAATTTTGTATAGGCCCTTTTACACGCGTGGTCAAGGAATCAATCCATGTAAAGAATCCCGGGGCAGAGCCTGTTATTTTCAAAGTAAAGACCACTGCTCCCAAGCAATACTGCGTTAGACCTAATGCTGGACGTATTGAACCCAATTCTGAAATTGAAGTGCAAAGTAAGTTGTTGTAAACAGAGGGATGGAAAAATTGGCCAAGGAAGATTAATATAAGAGTGTACTAGTCATTTTACAACCCTTCAAGGACGAGCTCCCTGAGGACTTCAAGTGCAAAGACAAGTTTCTCGTACAAACTGCACCTGTTAGCGCAGCATTTGAACAGAATGATATCGCAAGCATGGTATGGTTTTAAGGTTTCATTGTTTCGAACATGTCTGTTGAACTCTTTTTTTTTTTCAATTATGTATAGTGGAGTTATGTTGAGACAAATGAGAGAGCTAGCATGCATCAACACAAGCTTCGATGTGCATTTGTTGGTCCCAGAGAGGACACTCTTCAAGTAAATGAAACAACACAGGTAAGTCAAAGTGTGTTGGGGACGTATTCATTGTATCATAACTCTCTGTATATACAAAGACTTCTATTCCCGAACCGGTTACAACTGCCGATGAAATTGCATCATCTACTATTGCCCATTCTGAGCCCTTACAACAACAACCTCCTGCTATTCCCTCTCATCATGATCATACTACAGAAAAATCCCTTAAAGAAAACATGGCCTCTGCTGTGAATGCTCCTGCTCCCATTGTTGCTGCTGCTGCTGCCGCTGGTGCTGTTGCCACCCCAACAACAGCTTCTTCTAGAGAAACCTCAAGTGAAGCACCAGCACCTATCTCTCCAGCTGTGCCCTCCCACTCCACCATTGCTGCTCCTGTCGTTGAAACTGCTGCTCCGGCACCCGTTTCATTAAACACAGCTTCAATTACCGAGCCAATGACTCCATCATCTGCATCAGCAGCAACCACAACACATCCTGCACCATCATCATCATCAATCAATACTGCAACCCCAGTGCCCGTCAGTCGAGCTGATAACAGCAATAAAGAAAAGGAATTGAAAGAGGCCTTGGAGAGGATCGCCTATCTAGAGAAGCAATTGAACGATCTTAGAAAGGAGGAAGGACTTCGTGCTCGCAATCAAACAGGTACTAGTTCTAGAAAGTTAGCATCTACAGTTCAACCTTTGGATGCGGTTCATCAACATTTGGCTGCTTTGGAAGAGCCACGCCCTACTGAGGGTTATCCACCTCAAGTCGTTTTGGCAGTCGCTATTTTCGCCTTCCTCTTTGCATATCTTTTTTTTTAAAATAAATCAAATCACCACTACTAGTATTATTATCTAACGCACTTGATCCTACTTACTATTGCGAGTATACATTGCGTATTGTAAACACGTGGTCAATGATCATTTGCGCTCATCAACACATACATATCTCGGTAAATCCATAATTGGAAATGTTTGATTTGTCGAGTATTTTCAAGTAAATGCCATGCCATCTTTTTCTTTGTTGTCTAAGTCTTGAGCCATTTATTAAGCTTCTTCTGTCGTGGCAAACAGATACAAGTCTTTTAGCTTGTCTAAACTTGAATAGGCTGAAGCAGGTATGGCGTACTCAATTGAAGGATTGACGGCAACTTTGCTAGGATACAAAAATAAAGCTACCTGGTTTAGAGTAGACTATAGTCAATAGTAGTGCATATAAAAATATAATAAATATTTTTGCATTCATGGTTAGAAGGGCATTGAGTTTGCCAGCCTGCCTCACCAGCTGCCAAAATTAATTTCAACTCAGACTCTTAGTCTGTTTCAGATTGGCCAAATTTCTATATTTTTCGACTCAATTGATCTATTTTGCTAGATTCGACTATATAAATCGTACTAATCATTCGATGCTTCCTAATACATTCTTGGAGTGCTTTTCAAGGCGCATCCAATGGTGTCAAATAAAATGAATGTTTTTAATAAACTTATCGAGTAATTTGATAAAATGTGAAATGAGGTTTCTGGCCAAAAAGTCGAAACTTTACATATCAAGATGGCACAGCGATGACTTCAGGAGTTGCTTTGGATCGAGAGAAACATTTTGATTTAATACATACCATAGTAAAAGTCTTCGTTATCAAGGTCAAAAACGCGATCGTTTGATTTTCAATGAAAACCATGAGGGGGGGTACCTCATGCTTTTTGGCCGATTTTTGTCCATGTTTTTTTGGTCCTCAAAAAGTTGAGCAAAGGTGTCAGAAAGTAACTGCCAGATGAGAGCGACTGTTTGGTGCTATTCTGACCATCTAAAACGGTCTTGAACGCGAGAAAACGCAGCTCAAATGCACTCAGATTTTGCTGTATCAGAGACACTAACGACTAAAAAGGGATAATGTCTGTATGATACTTGTCCGTATATGAAATAGCTGCATGTATATGGATGTAGAGCATCACATAAGATTTAGATCCATAGATAATATGAAGGGTTTTCATATGTAAGTAGAGGGTCAACATGAACGTAGTAGTATTTTGATATGATACGCAAGGGCAATCGATAGCGCGAGCTGCCGCTGCGCAGGTTGGTTCTCACCAAAGCGAAGCGAAGATAAAGAGCCATCCGAAGCATAAGCTCTCACACGATTAGTGATTGTATATCAATCAACAATCAAGATTCTTCTAACGTTTTAGTTATATTAATTTTGCGATATTAGCCAAAGGCCCGTGGCAGCGCGAGCCGTCTCAACGTAAGTTGGTTTCCACCGAAGCGAAGCGTAGGTCAGGAAACCACCCGAAGTGCCGAAAGGCCTTTATTAAAAATTTGTACAGAGTCGAAATGCGCACCTAATGGTATTACTTTTGATAGTAATTCCACAGCTTGTACTACACAAATAAGTCTTGTTTTCAGATATTCTGAGGATTTTCAAAGAAAAACATATACATAATCTATACCGACTTACCCGTAGCAATATATATTTCGCAGTAGTAGATTCAATAATTACCTATCGTTTGAGGTTTTACATGTATGCAATATAAAGGAATAATTGATAATAAAAAATGGATATAGGCTTGTAAGGACAGCATCTATTTCGGCTGCAATCCAGCTGTTCTTATTATTACGTTGAGTGCCTTACAGTCCGATACCTGATATACATATGTTACAGAAAAGTCGTATAGCCTGATAGGTACAATGGCGTCAGAGAACAAACAAAAAGAGTTAGTATAAGCATAGTACATAATGATGCCATTATAATTCAAAACAGGGAAATTTCGGTATTTTTTCAAGTATGATAGTTGCCTGTCATGCTGCTTACGCATGAATTCTCATATTGTAGATAATGTGATAAACAGAAGAAAAAAAAAAGTTATTCTATTGTCACCTTGGTTTTGGTGAGCGAGCAAGATTTAATGTCAAGCCTTCTTTTGGCTATCAACTCCTGCAGTAAAGTAAGCATGGCGGTTTATTGTTCATTGTGGTCGACTATTCGCTTCATGTGCTTCCAAAGCAATACATTTGCTTCGTTTACCTTGTGCATTAAAGACTTCTCTGGTGATACAGGTAATTTTCCAAGTAAGTTTTTTTTGTTTTTGTTTTGCATTGAAAGTGTTTAGCCTTGAAATGGCAAGAGCAATCCATTATTTTGGTTCTAGAATTGACGACTTCGTAATAAGGCTTTTCTGTAGAGGTGGGATTGCATTAAAAGAGATAGTGTTCGTACAATAACCACATACCACTAGCTGATATAGCATCAAGGCGTTTGGTCTAATATTTTGCAAGCCAAAGATGGCCCCATTCAATCTGTTCATATATATTAAAAGATGTTGACAGAATTGAATCACATTCTTCATTTCTGATGGAAATCCTCAAATGTGCAAAGTAGTATAACATATGTCTCAGCTGTACATGGAGTACCACATTTATAATTGAAGCATTCATCCTACATTGTTGTTGCCAGATAAACTGTTTTGCACACATAACATAATGTGCTTCAATTGAATAAATTTTCCCAGCTTATTTTATTCTTTTGACATGAAATTGCAGATATAAAAAATGAAATGGTAAGACAAACTGCAACGACACACAAAGGTACGTAGTGCAATCTGGATTTTAGCCTTTTTCAGATTCTTTCTCAAGAACAAAAATGAAAAGCTGTTATGAAATTACATAGTGACCAATGATGATGAAATGTTTACTTGGTCAAGATGAGTAACGACCATCTATTTCATTCCATGTATTTTGAAAAGATAAAATTATCGTACTAATTTTTTCAATAAAATGTGGCATATATATATATGAAATTTTTTAACGGTGGATTGATAGTAAGCTATATAAGACGAATCATGGAAGAATGAAATATAGAGCTTCGCAAGTATAGCAATCAAAGAGGGCAATATTATTTCTGTTTTCGATTCTGTTACATTGTAATTCTTGTTATTTCTCGTCGATGAAAACCCTGGAGACACGACCGACTTGATTATAGCTGTATGAGGTGAAATCCAAAATAACGGGCATCACCAAGTAAAAAGGCAATTAACGCTATTTCATTTTTTCACACATTTAAGCTGTTGGTTTCTAATCTCTATCGCTCCTCTCCTCTTCTTTCCCCTTCTCCCTTTCCCTCTCTCATACTCATTTGATTTGAAAATGTCTGGTAACCTGAACCTCGAAAATCTGCCTACAGATGTCTTGATTCAGGTCATCAAATATCTAGACCAACAGTCGCAGCTTGAATTAGGATTAACATCGAAATGCATATCATACATCTGTATCAAACAGCTGTGGCATACACCAAGATTTACGTCTGTGGCAAAACTAGAGAAATGGATATATACCTTGAATAAAGCACAGACTATATATCCTTATTCTGCTTGGTTAATTGGATTAGATTTGGCACTTGATGGCATTCAACGTGTGCTTGATTCATTGTTGATCTCCAGACAACAGACATTATTAAGACGCTTAATATTACATAACGTGCAGGCCACACCAGCAGCATCTATGGAACTACTACATTTGATATCTTGTGACAGAATTGAAGAAATAGAATTCTTCAATTGTTCAGCAGAGATCACAATCGGGTTTGCTACACAACTGATCGGTGAAAAGAAGAAGTATCATAGATTGAAAAAAGTCTCCTTCCTGGATTGCTACTTGACAGATACTCTGGTCAGCCAAATTGCCCCTTTTATTCCTAATCTACGCTCATTTGTATCTCAAGGCTCTGGCTATATGTCTGACACAGCAATACTAGCCATCACAGAACACTGTCCTTTAATTGAAAACTTGATTGTAACACTACCTAAATACATAATACAGTCTAATACAATTACGTCCACCTCCTTGGAAGCACTGAGCAAGTGTGTACATTTAAAGAAATTAATCTGCACGGGTCAAGTGCGCATTGCGTCAAAAGAACGTGAATCTTGGTTACTTGAAAACTCCATGTCGCTCAAGCACTGTGATCTTTCCTTTGTTTAATCTTTTGCATTGGCCACCAAAATTATATACATATATAGAATTGTACATATCCGTATATCGATTTGTAGTTTCATTGATTATTAATAAACTGCATTTATTGCTACCATTCATTTCGTTGTCTTCCGTCTGCGCGGATTACAATTGTGTGTCCACCTCTGGACACAAAATCCTGTTGAAACGCATTGTTACACGATATGTGCTTAGGTCTCGAATAATCCGAGGATGTTGTTGCTTCTTGATGTTCATACTCTGGTATTATACAGAATCATATCTTGAAATCTTAAGGGAGAGCCGAAACTGCAAAACAAATGCTAAAACGAAGGGCTTTGGTTTATCAGTGGATCAACAATTGAATAGGAAAATTAAATCCGCAACGAGGGGCTCATGGACCCATACAATGCACTATTACCACATGTTTCCATCAATAAGGTTTCGCTAACTATTTATTTACATCTATAAAATACAGCACTGCAGCAAGAATGTAACAGGCATATCTTCAGGATGTACAAATAGCACTCTCAAATATACCATCCACACAACATTAGCAGAGCAGTATCCATTTCATCAACATAGTATACATGTTCAGCCGGACCCAAATGGCGGTTGTCATGCAACTTCGTTCACCTTTAAGGAATCACTACTAACTGAAAGCTCTTTGAGTGCATTCAAGGCAAGTGCTCCATTTGTGCCACTCCATAAATCAGAACAATGCCTTGACCAAATATGAATAAGAAATATGTTCGTCCAAAACCTCATTGTCTAATACGTAAAACTGATGAATTTCGAAACGTTTATCTTCTGTATACTAATGCCAAATAGTATTGTGTTTCTGGGCATCATTGAACGCGAGAAATGAGAAAACCACATAAGTAGTAGGTACACTAGATGGTATAAAATTCACACTGGTTTTGTTGCCTGCGTAGCTTGTAGTAACTCGAGGACCATAAAGTGTGAGCAAAGCAACATCCATCCCAATTCTGATTATGATTTCTCGATACGATAGCTTGCAAAATGTCATATAGTTCGAGCAATATTATCCATCGTCATGAAAGTTATTGAATTACCCTGTCTCATGTCCTTGCTGCAAATACACAACAGGCACATACGAACCATCGTAACGACATTAGACACCATATATTCAACCAATAAAATATACACGCAAAGTCTCACGCTGATGGTGTGTGTTTTCTCCCAAAATCTCATCTGAGATGTGCCTTCATCTAAAAAGATCATCAAAATGATGTTATTTCAAGAAAAAGAAAGTTTGAAGAAGAAATGTCATATAAAAACCCTCTTTTTACTTTTCCTTTCCTCCTTTCCTCATCTTTTCGTTTCATGGACACACTTACAGCCATCTCTCTTTATTAGTAAAATATATACCATGCTCTATATCTGATGTGGTCGCCTATTGAATACATATTCACTGTTTTGTGCCCCACTTTTGCTTCTATGATACATCATTCATTGCGATGCGTTCCAGTTAGTGAATCCAGCACTATGATGGATCAAACAGATCTATACGCTCTGAAATGACTTAACATCATCCCTGAAGATCTTGCTTATTTATGAAAGTGAGTATTGGTGTACACTATTTTGCCGTCTATATAGAGACATCCGAGGTAATGTTGTATATTTTTGCGTTGATTGTGATAATGAACGATAATAGCGCGGGAATCGGCTATTGAAAGACGGCTTGCCCACTTGATAGCAACAGACAAGAACCTTAATTTTACAAGAATCAACATTTGTCAAGCTAATTGGCACAAGAAAAAACGTAACTAGTAATGATTTGCTAATCTTTGTACATCCATTCTATTAAGACCATTTTAGAGTAGCTTGTGATTTGGGCGAGACAAAGAGTGTCTCATTTTGTCAATAGATTTGGTGAGGGATGTTTCGTTATTCCATACAAGCATCTATCACCAAATTGCCTAGCACCGTTTCTTTCGCTGTATGCTAGATGAGCAATCATCGACAGTGGAAATTCTCTCCGCTTATTGAAAAGGAGATGTGAATTGGGCACCGCGATATATAAAGAACTATAGCATATATACCAATATCAAATCAACATATTTCTACATTTAGGACAATCCCATAGGATTATCTATGTGCTGAAAAGATGGTAGGTTTTGTCTTTATATGATTCACAATGACAGCAATATCGAATACAGGAGAAAAGGGGTTTACGCCCGTGCATGTAACCTTAGCACAAATTGGATGTTTGCAAAGAAGAGATCAACTTTATCCCGAGAACGTAAATGTAGGATAGTAACACACTTGGAAAAGTTTAAAAGTTGCCATATTCCTCATTTGAGCCGCACAACTTTCAGTCATACAGATCAAACGTCTCAACAGTAACTTATGTTCGCAATTGATTTCCTTTCAAATGTTCGAGTAGGCATTGGGGGTAATCTAAGTCTTCTTTACTACATGTACTGAATCGAGTGAGGTTAGAATCAGCATTCGGCTATCCCTTCTAATGATTTGTGCAACTATGATGTGTACGAATTAGGATGTTTCCCCTTCGTTTTGATTATCAGAACTGTTACGATTGGCTCGATAAGGTGGATGTGAGAGAGAGTAAGCATAACTCATCCTGTTCTGATGGATTGAATAGCAGCCCCCAATGATAGATATACCAGCGCTAAAGACACACGGTGTCGCTGTTGTAAGGTTACGAATCATTTCCCCTTAAATGCTTGTGACTCATTAGAAATGTGAATATACAAACTGTAAATGTTTTTTTTTCACAAACAGTGCTTTTTTAGCATAGGAACAAGTGTCTGTAACACTAAACCCAAATAACAACTTTATATTATCCGTTAATCTGTGCCCGCCGGGTAGTTACTCACATGATGTTTATGGCAAAGGTTCTATATATTTAATCTTGTTCTATACATTAAAAAATTGCAAGAAACATAACATGTAGGAAGAGGGTTGTAAGAGTCATAACGCGGCATCTTAATGTCAGGTGTCACTTTCTGTTTTAACCCCCAGCAGCGGTGGCCTGGGTTCAAGAAGGGTATAAATACAAAGGAAGCTATTTCATGTTCTTTTCCTTTTTCTTTTCTTGTATATAAAAATATTTGATTTTCAACTAGAAGATTGGTAGACGCGTTTAACTGAAAAACAAGAAAAACCCCTCCCCCCTTCTCCAAAACCCTCTAAAACTAAAAATCCATTTTTGTTTTTATATAAACGTTTACTCTTCAACCCAGTAACGTTTTTATTTTATATTTTTTTCTTTTTTTTCCCTGATAACTATCACATTCAAAATGACTGAATCAAACGACTATTTGCTCTTATCTTCTTCTGACATCTTTGGAAAAGATCACCTTTTGTCAAATTTCTTGCAAGATCATAATCAACAGCAAATTTCACCTGTCATTGAGACCAACTTCCCCTCTCCAGCTTCATCAAATGATTCACTTGACAGCCCTGAATTATTGTCCAACAACCATCTCTCAATTGATCCCACTGTATTGCAAAACCTCCCCATCTCTGTGCTTCAGTCACTTGCTGCCATGTACCAACAAAACGACTCGAACAACAACCTGGAAAGCTTTGATCAATTTGTTCAATTTGAAGATGATGGCAAGAATAGTTCTAATGTCAATGATGCTGCTGTAGTTGCTCCCGCTCTTACACCTTCCACTATTTCCGCAACAACTACTACCCCAAACAAGCCCAAAGCTCATAGACCTCCTCGTCAGCTAGAGTGCCATAACTGCCATGTCACCAAGACTCCGCTCTGGCGTCGCACTCCTGATAGAGCTCACTCTCTTTGTAATGCCTGCGGTTTATATTACAAGCAATATGGTACCCATCGTCCTCTCCATGTGCGCCAAAAGCAGCAAACCTCCAAACAGGCCTCTCCTACCACTGCCACTGCCTCCATTGTGGCATCTCCCATTAACTCACCTACCACTAATGTCTCCCCTGTTGCTGTTTCTGCCTCTGCCGCTGCTGAAGTCGCTGCCAATTTGCTTCGTCCTATTCTCAGCCATCATTCTAACCAGCAACAACAACAGCAATGCAACGGCTGCCACCAGACCAATGTAGCTCTCTGGAGAAAGAGTGAAAGCAGTGAAGCCCTTTGCAATGCCTGTAACTTTATCCAAGATGGCGTTGTTGCTGCATCTCCCACTAATAACAAGCGTCCTCGTGATAGCTCTATTAGCCAAGATGATTTAGAAGACCAACGTCCAAACAAGATTGCTCATACCGCTAATGAGACACCGGCTTTATTCCCTGCTACTCCTGCTGCTGCTATGCCACCTACTCCTCCCACTTCTGTTGCTGTGCAATCCAAAGAATGGGCAGAGATTGATGATACACGTTTCAAGACGTTGCTTGGCCGTATGAATACTCAACAAATGCATGGTTTCTTGGGTATGCTTGAGCGTCGTTGCGCCATTTTGCGTTCCATCTTGGTCCCTCAACAGGAGTAGAGTTCTTTTTTTTTTCTTTTTTTTCTAGCATCTTTATTTCTGTATATTTTCTTCTTTTTAATGGGCTTTTCCTTCAACAATCAGCCTTTGTATATGTTCAACACATACCTTCACAGGGTATCTTTTTAAACAAAAGTTCTCTTTTAGTATTTTTCTATATATTTTTTTTCCTGAATAATATTTCTTCTATCCATATTATGTCTTATGTTTCATTTTTTTTTCTTTTATATAACTTATACCGTTCAACACTTTCTCATTATCACATTTCAAAAAAAAAAATCTTTAATAATAAAAAAAAATGTAATTCCCTCTTTTCTCGGAAGGATTGAACAAACAAACTGAAAACTTTTTTCTTGATTGTGATACATGCCTAATTATGAATGATACACGTTGTACACTTTTTCTACTGTAAATCTTTTATATTGCCTGTTCCTGGGCAAATTGTGCTACAAATGTCCTTACAAAAAGATGTATAGGTCTATAGTGACAGGATTTCCCTTTCGCAATGATACAAAACCAAGCTACAGTATAGTATCTGTTGACATGCACTATTGTCATTTTAGATGCTAAAGCACATCATCTACTTCTGCTCTAGCGATTGGAGGTGCAATTGAAAATTCATGTATACATTGAATATCAGATTGATTCGAAATCATCGAAAACGTAATAGTAAATGCCAATGTTTGGTGCCTTTGGGCCTTACCAGGGGCATAATCGACTATGATATTGCTTCAATGATGAAATCATACTCCATATGATGTCAACTGCAAACAGTCAAGTAAGTTTGAGTCTATATCGTTTCAAGGATCTCTGATTGTTTCGGTTTCACTAGCACGGTATCAAAAGCAGTAAGAGCCATTTCATGGACTCAAAATCATCTCACACAAGCTTTTTGTATAGTGATGTATCAGATAAATAGCCCAAGATGGTATATGTAAAAAAAAAGCTCAAATATAATCACCAAATTCAAAGATGGAATGTTCTGCATACCTTATGCCGAATGTTTACAAGCAAAAGAGGGAAGTACCACCCAGCATTTAGGTGCTCCAAAGAAATAATATTGAAATACACATGAGCTAAACTATTTATCACTCGTCATTCATCTTTTACATACGTTGGCGAGATTTTCTTTGATCTTCTATAGTCAAAGCTCGTTTTCATGAAATATAGTTGCGTTAATGCTGAATTCCACTACCATTTGATGGTAGTAGCCTTTTTTTTTGACTTCTGGTCTTGTTTGCACTCTATATACTACTAAGCAAATGTCTCCATCCAATGCTGGTTCAGTTAAGAGCGCATCGACTTGTAAAATCATCAAGGCTTTCAAGGTATTTATGCCTGAGGAGAGGAGTTCAAGGATAAAGAGGGTTTTAAGACAAGTAAATTCAAGTGTAAATCAATTGTTTTACTATAGATACTGGCTATTAAAAGCTTTGATATAAATAGCAAAACTCTTCAAGGGACAAACATACATCTGCTTTGCAGGTTTCTAGAACATGAATGGGAATCTAGCTAATAGAAACTCCTTTTCATGCAAAAATCGTAACACTCGATCGAATCACGCCTGTAAATGATCATACCATGCGATTTAGAGGCCAAACGTGGCTCTTCACGCTATTATACAATACAAACAGAAGTCTATGGCAAGTAGATGCTTGGGTATTATATACAAATACAGGAGGTTTATTAGAAAGAATGAGGACAAACGTTAATTTAGGAGGGATAGTTATATTAATAATAAGTTAGACTAAAGCATTCTTTTCAAAGAATGCTTCAGCTCCAAGTAGATAATGTAAGGGTATGGAGTCCATTTAAATACGCTCAACTTCGTTAACTTGATATTTCTTGTTGCCTTCATTGTCGCTATTGCTACTTTGACTGGAGCTGTCAAATTCTTGGTTACAATCTTGCTTCTTGACATCGTCAACAGCAGTTTCCACAGGAAGGCCATCCAATTGAGGATCATATTCGAGGCTCTTGCCAGGACCTTTGAAGAACTTGTTGGCACGAGCATAATAGTAGAGGACAGAGGCACCAATGACACCGGAAAAGACAACAATAGCATAATTCATGTTATCAGGTGTTACAGGATATTGAGTAGGACAGACAAACAGAACAGATGTCAGCAAAATCCAGCACAAACTAATGACGTTAACGGCATCCGAGAAGGGACCTAAATGAAAAGGGCCGCGAACAAAGACCTTTCTAGCAACAGTCAATTTGAGAGCAATGGGGATAAAGTAAGCCATAGATGAAGCGATGGTGTTGACAGAGACAATAGCATTGAATGCAGTTTCGTTGATAATGTAGAGCAAACCAACAATCATGGCAAAGACAACATTGAACCAGACAGCCCAGATAGGAGTTTGAGTCTTCAAGTTGATAGTAGCAAGGTACTTGGAGAAAGGTGTAGCACCATCACGAGCAAAGGCATAAATCATTCTTGAGCTGCCTAAAGTCAAAGCAGAGCCGGAGAAGAACATGGCGCCCATGATAATGGTAGTGAACACAACGGTCCACTTGTAGCCAACGCCATCCAAAAAGACTTGAGTCATGGCAGGACTAATTTGTGTATCGACAATTTGAGCTTGATAGTCTTGGACACAGAAGTTGACAGAGACCAGGAAGACGAAACCAACAATAGCAGCAGTACCGATAGCATAGAGGATACCACGAGGAGCGCTACGGCCAGCGTCACGAGTTTCGTCAGACATGTGAGCAGCACTGTCAAAACCAGAAAGGGTATATTGAGATTGTAAGAGGCCAATCAAGAAAGCATAGCCTCCAGAAGAAAAGCCGGTTTCGTTTTGGAAGTGAGTGAACACCCATTGGGCGCTAGGCTTGTTGGGAGTCAAGACTAATGCGACAATGACAATGAGAAGCGTACCGATCAGATGCCAGTAGAGTGATGTTTGGTTGAAAAAGCCGTTGTATTTGACACTGACAGAGTTGATGATGCCATGAACGACAGCAATGACAACAAAGATGCCGTATTGCCAGTAAATGCTGGGGCTGTTGTTGGGGTCGCTAATGTTGATGATGGAAGCAATGAATTGAGAAAGGCCAAGATCAGCTGAAGTGATGGCAACTACATAGAAATGGATTAATTTGACATGATACAAGATGATCTAAGAAATGATGGAATACGACGTACCAGTCTGTATTACAAATAAAAGATTAGAATAAGGTTTTGAATCGAATAGATGTTGTAGCCATATTTACCAAACCAAGCCAGTTACACCAGCCAGTCAACCAACACATGATAGGGACCCACTCAGGGGGGGCCAATTTGGATACCCAAATGTAGAGACCACCAGTAATGGGATAGGCAGAACAAATCTCAGCCAGAGAGAGACCAACGCCGAATGTAAAGACTGATACGAGGATCCAGCCCCAGATGACAGCAATTGATCCAGCAGCAAGCATGGCATCACCCCAAAGAGGAGTGAGACCTGATAAGATGGAGCAACAGCCAAATGCAATTGCAAAGTTAGAAACAGTTGACATGGTTTTATTCATTTCCTGTTGTTCAAATGTTAAATTCTGCCGTCTACGAGTGTGTGCGTGCGTGCTGCTGCTGTACCTGCTTATAGCCCATAGAATGTAATAATTCTTCCTCAGTTTGAAACTGAGGTCTGTTTTCACCAGTTTCGTTTACTTCATTGATGCTTAGGTTACGGTCCATGCCAACCATATAATGATTAAAGTGCGGGGTGACGGAATTTTCGAAAAAAGATTGGGAATATAGAAAAGGAGCTTTTTACTAGATGACAAGTAAAAAGTAGTATGAAATAACAAGAGAAAAAGACAAGTTAACAAAGGAGAAGGTGGAAGCAAAGGGAGAATCGCCCTTCTTTTTATACCAAAGAGACTAATGCGCGGCTTCAATGTTTGCTTAGATCTTCTATGCCATTTGTTCATCATCATTATGTTGCTTAATTTACAGGACTCCGCCTCTACCAGAAATGCACAAAAAAGGATAAGAAAACCATCGTGTCCTTGTTTAACCACCCAAGCAAAAGCACCATTGTGTATTAAGGTTCCTGAAAGCTATCTTATCAAAATAGGACATTGCCCTATAATATTGTCCCGCTGACAAATATGCTGTAGTACTAATCCATTTACATATTCAGTATGCCTCTCTTGGATGAGGGTCACTTGATCCAAATGGAGGATTTTCCCTCCCCCCCACACTTTCAATCAAAGTAAGAGCAAAGAGGAGCAGTAATGTCCAAGAAAATGCCACTTATCCAATCAGATCGATTATCTCTCACGCATCTTCCAAATGTGGTTGCCTTCATGACTAATAGATCAGTTTTCATTTCACTTGTTTTGGTGATTTGGTGTTTTCGGAATTCATTGGAGAGTTGCTGATAAGACAGTGTCATCATAGCGTCTAGCAACTTGGAATGACACTGGAGGTTCAGTTCGAGTAATACCTTGCTGAATCTCTATCAATGTACAAATGCTGATTCGTGGGAAATCCAATGTGGCCATAGCTATTGTAAATGTAAGCCAAGGTAGGGTACCTAACGTACTGCAGTCAATTTAGCATTATGACACATTTGACTCTTTGTAAACGGAAAGTATATATGTAAAAAATACACATGTGCCACTCGAACTCTTTTCAAGGTATTTTTTCCCACAAAAAATTAAAAACTTGTGGAGTACAAAAACTGGCAAAAACCTGCTAAAGCGAGCCTTCGGAAATCAACATTTGGTAAATGGAATGTTGGTGAATGATGCTGAACAGACATTGCAAATCCGTGTTAGATATATCATGGAGATTGTGTTTTGCTTTTCAGAAAATGGGAGCAAGCCAATGTTACAACGATCTCGATGTGTAACAGTTGCTAGATTCTGCCTTAAATGCATGCATCTCTCCTACTGCGCTATGATGCAAAACATACTAAAATACAGGTCTTAGTCATAGAGCCAGCTTAGTCATAAGGTATCCAAGCTAAACGCTTTCATTGCTTGTTTTGTAAGCCAAAGCGCAAAGGGTATACAAGATGGATAAGGGAAGGCAATGTGGGTAAACGATAAACTCGATTTGTAAAACGACTTGATCTCAATATATAATGTTTGATTACGGTAAATCTCGTGGGTCACAAGGAAAAAGATAACTGACAATCAACGCACTCCCTTGTGTTGTGATATTTGCTTTTCAACGATGAGAATTCATTAAAAGACATAGCCTTTTGTTGAAAAAGGAAATACATGTCAAGTGTTGTATTAAAAATGACAAACATCCAGCTTTTCTCACGAAGCTTTAGTCTTTCTGTTAAACACTAAAATGCTGTATGTATGAAGAAGGTGTATGTGCGTGTGTAAAAAAATAAGATACAAGATAGCAGATAAGAATTGTTGATTCAAAGGCGGGATCTGGGGCTGATTGATCCAATAGCATCTTGTACAAGGTCAATCTTTTCCCCTCTCTCTCACTCTCTCTTTTTTCGTTCTGAAAGACAGGCTCTAGATGCTTTATGCTGCCAAGAACCCAATTGAGGGCATTGCTTTGATACTCTTTACTGAAGCAATTCCAGTAAATAACAATCGAATAATGTCAAAATAGATTGTGAAGTGAGTTTATGCAAAAATGGCACGGATGTATACGACTATCACCGACATTTGCATCTAATATATATACTGTAAAACATTCAAAAAAAGTAGACAAGCCAATCATATCCTTTTAAAATTTAATAGTATTAAAAGCCAGAACAAACGAGGGCATAACCACCGGCGAAGCCGGCAATGGGGAGGGGGTTTGGGGGAGGGGGCTTAGCCCCTCCACCAAGAATATAAGGCACCAAAAAAAAAATTTGATACATTGCTTTTTGTTATTATACGTACGTAATAATATGCCTCCTACTATTCAAACAAGACACTGCACGACCTGTAGAGCTGCTCTTCCAGTAGACTATGCTTATCGGAAATGTGATTCATGTCGAGTAAGTAAAATGGCTTTTAACGCCTAATAAAACCCTGAGACGCAATGGTTTATTTTGTTTGTACTCAAATTCAGGAACGAGCGCGAAATTACGCCAGGCAAAGAAGATTGGCGAATCGAAGAACACCAAGAGCACCTGCAGCGTTTGTATCAGAACTTGGAAGAGTACAACGTTCAGATTTGGGCAGAATGGACAACCAATGTGATGGATGTGGAGCTTTGCATTGGGCCGCAGAGAGGGCTGTTCAACAGCGAGTAAACGACAACTGCTTTCATGCTTGCTGCAAAAAAGGTAGAGCTGTCTTGCCCCTTTTGCAAGAGCCTCCCGAGCCTTTAAATAGCTTGATCAACGGAAGCCATCCTCGATCCTCTCATTTTTTGCAGCACATGCGACAATACAACACTTTGTTCGCATTTACATCATTTGGCACCGATGCTACGCCTGAGCAGCTCCAAAGGGATAGAGAGAATGAGATGAGAGGCGGCATCACGCCGGTTCGTGTTCATGGGGAACTCTATCACTTGCAAGCACCACTAAATTTGAGCAATGTGCCAAAGTATAGCCAGCTGTACGTTTACGACCCAGAGTATGCCGCTGCGATTCGCTGTGCAGACCCCAGAAATCAAGGATTGGACGACACGATCATTGAGCAACTGAGTGAAATGATTGCTGATCCTGTAGTTTGTGGCAATCCATTTGTAAGCATCTACAAACATGCTCACGAAATCCTGAAAGAAGAAGAGGAGAGGCAAGCTCAAGATGGTGTTAGCGAGAATGCTCACATCAGGCTCAGTCCTCAGATGCAAATGGAATTGGTTGTTGGCCAGGACAGACGCACTCAAAATCTGCCAACTGTCAACGAGATTGCTGCCATCATTCCAAACGAGTGTTCTGACAGGAGTTTCAGAGATATTTTGATCACATATCGTAGCAATTCCTCGGCCAGGGCTCAAGGCCAGTTTAAGCGTATCAATGAGACGCATGCTGCATATATGCCTCTTCATTATGCTTTGCTTTTTCCTAGAGGTGAATATGGGTGGAATTGGGGCCAAAGACTGCAATCGTCAGCGCAAACTGCTGATGCCATGATTATTGAGAGCGAAGAAGATGAGACACCAGCAGAGCAACAACAACAACAACAAGTGTCAGATAGCCGACTTACCCAGGGCGTGTTCTACAGATTTCGATTGCATGTTAGAAACAACGAGTCAAAGATCATTTTTTTGTCAAGACGTCTATTTCAACAATATGTGATTGATGCCTGGGCAATCTGTGAGCAAACAAAACTGAACTGGATCAAAGTCAATCAGACGAATCTTCGCGCTGATGTGTATAAAGGACTTGCTGATGCTACCTCTGCTGCTGACTCAGACCTCGAACAGGTGGGAAAGACGTTCATCTTGCCCAGTAGCTTCACTGGTGGACCGCGATTCATGATGCAGCTATATCAAAATGCAATGGCTATCTCTAGATTCTTTGGTAAGCCAACGTTATTCATCACATTTACTGCCAACCCAAACTGGAGGGAGATCCAAGATGAATTGTTGCCAGGCCAAACAGCCGCTGATCGCCCCGACTTGGTTGCTCGAGTATTCAACCTTAAGCACCGAGAGCTGCTTAAAGACTTGAAAGACAGAAAGGTCTTTGGCTGTTATAAAGGCATTGTAAGGACTATTGAGTATCAAAAGCGTGGTCTCCCTCACGGTCATATGCTATTGTTTTTGGATGCAGAAACAGATAGATTTGATACGCCAGAGAGGATTGATCAGATCATTTGCGCTGAGATCCCAAATGTTGAAGAAGAACCTGAATTGCATGCAATCATCACTCGCAATATGATGCATGGCCCATGTGGCGAGCTAAACTCAAAGTCTCCGTGTATGGTACAAGATGCTTTTGGCAATGATGTATGCTCAAAGAAATTTCCCAAAAACTACCAGCCAGTAACGGTGACCAGTGCTGATGGTTATCCTACTTATAGAAGAAGAAGAGATGGTCGTTCTCATCAGGTGCGCGTCAAGGACAAGTTGGGTGTCTACCGCGATTTCCACATGACGAATGAGTGGGTGGTGCCATACAACCCTTATTTGTCAAAAAAATACAATGCCCATGTAAATGTCGAAGTATGTGGTAGCGTCCAGGCAATCAAGTACATCAACAAGTATATTTACAAAGGCTCTGATCAGACAACGCTCAAAACTACAGCCACCACCACAGCCACTGAAACAGCAAATGCCACTACCACAGCAACAACTCAGAATAACGAAGTAGCCAAGTATCTAAATGGCCGTTATATTAGTCCTGTTGAAGCTGCATGGAGGTTGTTTGAATTCCCAATGCATGAGGAAAGCCCATCTGTTACTCCACTTGCTGTGCATCTTGAAAACGAGCAACCTGTTTATTTTGATCCCCAATGGCCACAGGAGAAAATTGACAAAGTATTGAGAGAGAGTCGCTCTACTTTGATGGCTTACTTTCATTACAACCATGCAAATCACGGCAAACCCGGTTTTCGACCGTTGCTTTATCAAGAGTTCCCTGAACATATGACTTGGCAGCAGAATGCAAAAAAGTGGAAGCCTAGGTCTTCGAGTAGAATGTCAATTGGGCGCATGTATTACTGCAATCCTGCTGCCGGCGAGAGGTATTATCTGCGTCTGCTGCTCACAGTTGTCAGAGGAGCCATGTCGTTTTCTCATCTGAGAACTGTCAATAATCACGAGTACGCCACCTTTCGCGAGGC